AAGATACCCTTGACATTTTTTACCAAGTGCATCAAAGTTATATCTATCTGGAGATTTTATCTCACAGGACGGAGCCTGATGCTATGCAGCTTCTTCTTCTTTGAGTGCCTCTCCTATCGGAGATTTAATATCATTATGGCGATTCTAATTTTATTCACTGCTGTTTTGAATAATTCGTTAGTGGTACAGCCAAACCACTCTCTGAAATTTCTCATCCAGGACATTCTTCTACGGCCCGGATTTCTGCGTCCTTGGATTTTTCCCTGCATTATATTTTGTAGGAATGTGTACTTTTGTTCTCTCATCAGGTGGCCTAAGTATTCAAGCTTTCTCTTTTTTATGTTCATGATAACTTCTGGATCGTTATTTATTCTGCGTATTACCTCTTTATTTGTAATTTTATCTACCCAACTTATTTTTAGTATACGACGGTAGCACCACATCTCAAAGCTTTCAAGATTTTTAATATTCCTCTGTTTAAGAGTCCATGCCTCAACACCGTAAAGCAAAGTACTGAATACATAGCATTTTAACATTCTAGTTCGTAGATGAATACTGCGGCTAAATCTACCCAAAAATAGATGGCAGAACATGACATTAAAGTTTTGTCACATCCTTACCCGGATGCAAAGCAACCGGATCTTAATCCAATAGAGACACTTTGGCACAAAATGAAATAACGCCTAAGAAATAACCATCAGCGTAATTTGCCACAACTACGTACTAAATTGCAAGAAATATGTAATAGTTTCACCCCTGAATTCTGTGAAGGCCTAGTTAATATAATGTCTAATAGTGTACAGGCTGTTATTCAAGCTAAGGGTGACGTTACGCCTTATTAATTTTTTGTTTTATTTGTTAAAAACCTCTTGTTCCAATATTTAGTTTAGTCAGCATTTTTCATTCATTCAGTCAAAAAATATATGTAATCCGTAAAAATATTTCCATACATCATAAAAAATGTTGTTAATTTCATATTTACAATTTAAAAAAATTTAAATAAAAGAATTTCGGTAAATTGGTATTTTATTCGCAAAACAACTGCTTGTTCCTACATATTATAGTTGTTAGGGCTTGTGGTAAAACGAACAATTTCATATGCATCAGTGGTATAGTGGCTGAAAGTGCAGCAAAAAAGACTAAGCCATCCTCAAACTAAGCGAGGTGAATGGGACAGTGGAAACACAACCCAGGCTGCAGAATAAACATAGTATAGAGGCGGATTAGAACTGCAGAAGCTCTAGGGCAGGGGTGCTCAAACTTGAACTGCTGGCGATCTACCTCAATATTTTTAGACTACTTACGATCGACTCTGAGAGACTGCAAGTGTGTGTGATGCAGGGTTGTCGTACATACACGATACACCCTACCTACCTAGGTAGTGCGTACCGTAGCATATATAGATATTAGCTTTCTGCACAATATAGGTACATTATTTTAGTCAAGGTTTGGGTTAGGTTTAGTTAGGTTCTTCTCTACAATATCAATGAAAAAACTCATAGTTATTCAAAATTGCGAGTTTATTTGTTGTTACAAAACAAAAGAGTTACATATGGTGTTAAACTTAACTAAGGAGTGCCTTTGGATGTTGAAGCGTGGCACTGCATGTCCTCAGCATACTTTTCATAAGATGGTATGTAACCACTGAGTGCTAATCGCAAGCATGATGTCATATGATCGTCAGTTAGTCGATTGCGATATTTTGACTTAATTATCTTCATTTCAGAAAATGCAGACTCGCACAAGTAAGTTGACCCAAAAAATGCCGTCAGTTGAAGGGCGATTTGCCTTACATTCGGATATTTATCTTCAGATATAAAACGCCAGAAATTTGTATCAGATACTGTAGCTTTGAGATGTATATCTGATATAATCTGCACCAACTCATTTTCAACAGAACATGAGTTCATATTAAACTGACTTGCTATTTCAGTAGCTAATTCCTCAATGTTTTTACCTGAAAAAGGATAACTCATAAATGATGCTATATTTTCCAATTTACTGCAATCATAAAAACGCATTTCGAATTGTCCCAAAATATTTGATAATTCAGCCTCATACGTATCATAATTCAACTGAGGAATCCTTGCTTTCAAAGACGGAAAATGTAAAATCCTTTCTTTTCAGTTGATTTATCATAAGTTGCAATTTACTTTTGAATGCGTTTACTGCGCTAATCATCTCAATAATAGTTTTTCCTTTACCTTGAAGCTCCAAGTGAACGGTGTTTAAGTGCATTGTGATGTCAGTCAAAAATGCCAAATCATTTAGCCATTTTTCGTTTTTCAAAATCTGAGTGTCATCACCTCTTTCGTCTAGAAAATCTGTTATTTCGTTCAATAATTCTTGAAACCTTTCTAGGAATTTTCCGCGACTCAACCACCTGACGTCCGTGTGAAGAACTAAATCAGTGTGTTCAGCTGACTCCCTATCTTCCAACTGCAACTGAAAGAGCCGCCGTTGCAAGATACATGCACGGATGGAATTCACAATTTTTGTTGCAATGCCCATAATTTCCTCCGTGTTTAAAACTTTTGAACACAAAACTTGTTGATGTATAATGCAATGGAATGAAAAAAATGAAGGGAATTCTTCATTAGCTCGACAGAATGCCACAAAACCGTTTTTGTTTCCAGTCATTGCTGGTGCTCCATCGGTTGTAATGCACATTAATTTATATATTGGTAGCTCGTAGTTTTTTACAAAATTTAAGAAAACGTCATATATATCTTCGCCACGGGTCTTCCCCTTCAGAGGAATGATTGTCAAAAATTCTTCCTTAGCCAACATGTCATTGAATACTATCCGAATAAAAATACACAGCTGGGCAGTGTCTGTCATATCTATGGATTCGTCGAACTGTAAAGAAAAGTATGTACATTCCATGATATCATGTTTTAGTTTATCTGCGATGCCTTGACTCATGACTTCAATACGCCTTGTGACAGTCGGACGAGATAACTGAAGTTCCCTAATAGCAGACATGATTTCTGTTTTATTTTTAAAATCTCCAAATAAAGTCTCACCCGCTTCAATAAATGCTTCCTTCACCACCGATCCATCTTCAAATGGTTTCTTATGTTTCGCCAAAATATGAGATATTTTAAATGACGCGATCGTAGCAGCTTTTGATTGTTTGGCTGGTCTTGTGAACATGGATTGTTCTTTTTTCAAACAAGATATCAAATCACTTACTTTTCGTTTTCTTTATTCACTCTGTGGCGGAAAATCCTTTTCATAGTTTTTATGAACCGTTTTATGATGCCTCTCTAAGTTACCACGCTTAGGTATTGCAACTGACGCACGACAAATAACACAAATGCACTTATCCTTCACCATAGAAAAGAAAAATTCTTCCTCCCAATCCTTATTAAAATGATACGTTTTAGATTTCTTCACTGCACTCATTTTCCACTATTTAATAATAAACTTTGTATCGACGTAGGATCGCTATCAAGTTACAATAATTCAGAATAACTCCAATTCCTGCAGGAGCAAAATTTATACCGGCGTGAACGAAAGTCTCGAATGTTACCGTCAAACGCGCCGCCCGAAACTAGTCTACAGAACTGTACTGTCTCTCGTCTAGAAACAACACGGCTTTTCTTTGACAAGTGCCGCGCGTTCCTTTGATAAAGCCACCTTTTGCCGCAAGCAGTGTTATTTTGTTACGTAATACATTTTTGTAGTTGATAGAATATCATCCCAAATTTGATTAATAATTACAATAAATATTGAATTAATAAAATAATTAGTTAATATATGTAAATATAAAATATGCTGTGTAGACAGTATTTTGTTGTCCCCACTTCTTTGAATTGCAATGATGCTTAGTCAAGCATTCTATGTATTTGTATAGTTCAGTATTAATAAAAACGTTTAACTCTGCTGACAGTAGTTTAGTTACCTACCTACTTATTAAAATTTTTCTTCTTCTCGTGATCTACACAAAAAGCACTCGCGATCGACCAGTCGATCGCGATCGACCGTTTGAGCACCCCTGCTCTAGGGTAATGTGGAATGCTAAGAAAACTCGACAGGCTGACGGAACATAACAGTGTCACACTGATATGTTCCGTCAGCCTGTCGAGTTTTCTTGGCAGTGTCACACTGATATGGGTTTTAGGTCACTGGGGAATACATACCAATAGTAGAGCTGATAAAATTGCCTGAATAAGATTAGCTACAGAATAGTTCGTTCCAGAGCCGACCGTATGAGTGAAAAAGTCTGGATCCGAACACTACTACCACTGGGGCAGTAGAGCCGGTGAATCACATGGTAATAGGGCTGAAGTACTGAGGAAAACAAGCAGAAATTATTCAAGGGTCATTGCTTATAATGGGGTTGTTATTACCGTATACAGAGTTCCATAATTCTGGAATGGGTACAATAAATGAATGGAAATGTAAAATAAGTTATTTTTTTGCAGTACGACCGGTTTATAAAAAACTGCTTTAAAAAAAGTCTGACTCACTACAAACAACCATAAACATATCTTAACTGGGCTATTAATTAAGGTTAGATTATCCACATCTGGAGTTCATGTACATTTGGGAAGTACATAGCAGCCAAAATCTCTGGAATATATTTTTTATGGCCAAAAATTATAACTAAAACTACTAATGTTTTTGTTTGTACGTTTAGTACATTTAGTGACTAAAAAATGCCAGAGAAGAAAAAACAGAAGTGTTTCGCAGCTTCCGATTTGCTCCCTAGAGCAATTTAAGGCTACTCTAGCTCTATGAAGAAGAAGAACAACTAGGCATAACAATGCATGCAAACGGCAAAATTATAACCGTTTTCTCCAATATTATCCTTATGAATTATTAAGTACAACATGTTTGCAGTAGCGCATTCATATCTAACAATAGACAGATAAATATGCCTTAATACTTACCGACTTCTATAAAAATCTTAGCTCTCATTAATTGAAAATTAAACGTAATTGGAAATATAGGCAAAGAATAGTAAAAATTAGGATACACATAAAATTTCTTACCTGGCGAAGATGGAGATCTCAAAAAATCTTGTCTTTCATCGGGATAATCTTCATCTTCGGGGACCATCTCGAATTCTTTAACAAAAGGACTTCCAAAAGAAATCACGTCTTCAGAAGTTGATGCACTAGGATTCCGACCATAAAACCAATCTTCTGCTTCTTCTCGTATTACAGGCCAATTGTCATGCCTGTCGTGCCTGGTGCACAACCACCTCTTTCTGTTAAGGTCATCAGCTCCTAACGGGGTGGTTCCTACAATATATATATAGTTAATTATGTTAATAAAGTTTAACAGGTTAAATTATTAAGTTTAACAATACAATTAAATTGTTTGGTAGGCATGAAAGAGTTAAATTAACATTACTATCTGATTTAATCTTTAGAGATGAACATATTAGAAGTTAAGCTACAGCTTATTTCAAATTTCGTGGCAAGAATTTCTCGGAACAGTAATGCCTAACCTAACAAAGCAGGGGCGAAAAAATACTTATGATTTACAATTATTGAACATAAGTACAAAATGAACACAATATATTTTACGTTTTCTAATATTTTGTAAAACTTTCTTACGGATAGAAAAATGCGCAGAACATTGAAAAATTTCAGACAACTTAACGATTATTTAAATTTCGCAGGTTTAACAATTTTAGAAATGACATTGATGTTAACGAATATACACTGGGTAATCAAATTATTAGAGCCACCTAGTAAAATTCAATTTTTTTTTACAAAAGAGTATATAATTGAGCCGTTTAATATATTAATGCGTTTGTTTTCATTCTTGGTGTTTAGAGGCATAATAAAACGCTTCCATTGCTCTCTAGTGATATTCCGACAGTCGTATACTATTTTTTTTTTAATTTGGCAAACATTGTATGTTCGTTACACCAGTGGTAACAAAAGGTCATGGGAAAAATCAAAGACATCTCGCCAAGGAAAATAGCGGAAATAAAAACTGTATTATTGAACACTAAGCACTACAACAGAAAAATAGTTATGTTAGTATATTTTTTGTTATCATTTCAAGATTCAACAAAAATCTCAATTTTCTCCAGACTTTTGGTTAAACTTTTTAGACTATTTTCGAAATTATTTCATTAAATAATTGTTCCGTTCAAAAAAGTATATAATGAAAATGTTTACTAAATTTTTAAATTTTTTATTTTCCGAAACTTTTCATCCATAATATTTTAATAACAACTAAAAGCATTTCTGAATTATTTTTTTGAATACTTAACAGTAACTATTCATGAATAGGTACTCTGTGTGAAAGTTTTCACGCTGTATGAGTACTATTTAATCTTCTTTTAAAATAACAACTACTAGTAAAACATAATTTCACAATGAATAAATATTGGTGCAATTATTACAATATAGTCTTAAATTTACCTCAATTTACTTAATTGAACATAAATTGATGACATTAATTAAAATTAATTTTATGTATGAATTTATGAGATTTACTAAAATATAATCATAACTGTTTTTTTATTAATATACGAATGAACGAATATCTGAATAAATGATCGGTTTCAAAAGTGTTTATTTACTACTTAGTACATTTACCTAAATAATATTCTATTTATTATATAAGATCTAGATACTACCGTCATTTGTTAAAATAAATGTTGAAGAGATATTTAAAAACAAAAATATCCTGATGGTTTCTTCATCAGCCTCTTTCCCGGGGACGCGGGTGAGAACCATGGGGCGCTTGGGTATATTATTTGGATCAACTATATTAAAGTTTGCTCCCACTTCGCTTAACGATGTTTTATGGAACTGCAAAAGACCTCCGATAGGAGCCTCATCAACTGCTTGTTCCAGTTTGTTAATGATCAGATCTGCTTGAGTCCTATCTAGTTGAGTATCTCGATGGTGTCTATGTGCTACCACCATTATGAATACTTTTGTCACGTTGTTTTATAACCTAGTCTGCTCGTTAGACCCCTTGATTTCTTAGCAACTCTGTTGCGAGGGGTGTGATGGTATTCTCCCGAAGGCTCATTTTATCCATCTTCCTTTGTTGAGTTTCAGAGAGGCGCTTTTATTTATTTATTTTTTAAATTTAAAAATCCAAAATTATACGTAATAATTTGGAATTTTCAAATTTTAAAAAATAATTCTCTGGTGTATTTGCTAAAAAGTAATTCTACCGTACTAACAGATCAGGAATTGGTTTTTGATCGAAACACCTTAGAATTGTTTTGGGCTTTCTCTCCCAGTTATTGACTTTTAATTAATATTATTCATATTTTATAAAAAGGGAGTTTTAATTACATTATTTGTAGATTTGAATCACAAGATGCATGAGTAGGATTTGATCTCTAATTTTATAAAACACAAAAATTTAATGCTAAGCATTCTACGCACACGACCACGCATCATCTACATAAGAAAATATCTAAAATTGACCATAAAATCGTATTATTACGCTGCTACATATTCTCAACATTTCTGTATGGTATGGAGAGCTGGACCCTTCTTCTTCTTAGAGTGCCGTCTCCTACGGAGGTTGGCAATCATAATGGCTATTTTTATTTTAGAACTTGCTGCTCTAAACAAATCAATCGATCTGCATTGGTACCAATCACGTAGATTCTTTAACCATGAGTTCAGCCTTCGGCCAACAGATCTTCTTCCTTGAATCTTTCCCTGTATTATCAGTCTCAAAATTTCATATTTTGGTCCCCTCATCACGTGGCCTAGGTATTCCAGTTTTCTGGTTTGTATAGTGGTGATTTTGTATAGCTGTGTAGTGTTTGTATAGCTGGACCCTTACAGAGACATTAATGAAAACATTGGAGGCCTCTGAGATGTGGATTTACCGATGAGTATTGCGGATAAGTTGGGTTGATCGTATAAGTGAAATAGTTTTACATCGAATGAAAAAGAGCACAGAAATAACAAAAACGATAAAAAATTCAGTTACAATATTTCGGTCATATAATGAGACATCCAGAGAGGTACAACCTTCTACACCTCGTAATACAGAGTAAGATCGTCCGAAGGAGAGGCCCAGGCCGAAGTAGAACATCCTGGCTCCGAAATCTCCGAGACTGGTATCGAGAGACCATCGCCCATTTATTTAGAGCCGCTGTAAACAAAGTTATTATTGCCAATAGAATCGCCAACTTTTGATAATCGGACACGGTACTGAAAGAAGAAGAACTTCAGCCGACACTAAAAAATGACGGCACAATGTCCTTTTACATGCGTCTAATTCCTTGATGATGTCATTCGTTTTATATTCTAATAGAGATAATTCTCGCCAGCGTTGCCATAGTTATACAAAATACTTTGTATTATGGAAAATAAAAATTATTGCTTTTTTACTACTATGGTATTTTAACTATTTGCAAAAACTGGGTACGTTATACATAAATTATTTTAATAAAGCTTGGTAGTTCTTATAAAATAAGTAGGGTAATACGTGAGGTTTGGTTAGGTGTTTTTACACAAATTTGACAATTTTATTCGTCTTTTTTTAGTTACTGTCGGAAAAAGTTTGGCAACAATGTCCTGAATTTCCTAAAGACGTGCATCTCCTTTTTGTACTTCTTTTTATATCATCTCTGTATAATCAAAAGATCAATACTAGCGAATTATTAAAAATTAATCAGAACATAAAGTTATTAACATTTTTACCTAAAAGTCCTAAAACATAAAAAGATGTAGCTCGCACAGAATATACTGGGGACCATTTGGCAAATCCTACGATCAGATCTACGACTCCAAAGTTGGTAAGATAATCGTAGCCACGATTTGATGTTCCCATGTGACCTAATGCCCAAATCGCAGCTTTTAGTTTTAATATTTCTTCGTCTGTCGAACATTTCGCGGCCTTAACAATCTGAAATAAATCACAATATATTTACTTGAATATATTTGGATATATGTACATATGTAATGAAAATAAAAATATTTATTGTACGTAAAAGCGGGATAGACTTTAATTCTATTCTGACGATGAAATCACAAGTACAAGTGCTTCGTAGTAGAGTCGGTGATTAAACTAGGAACATGAATATTTGGTGGTATTGTACCATCATATATAAATGGATATCCCTATAAATATAATCGATTAATAGTAAAACATGTTCAAATTTTGTTAGTTGTCAAAAATTTACGTTACTGTCAGTTTAAAATAAATATTAGCTCAATGTACAAATACTCACTTCAATCATTTGGGTTGTCTTTCCTTGGCTAATCAACAAGTCAAATCCTTGTACGTGTTGTACCAGCTGCCCATATAAGTGCGGAGGGAGAAATACATCTTTTCGGTTGGTATTTCTTTGACTACTAGACCTTTTGTCATATTTACCATCATCGTTACGCTGATGCAGAGTTAGCGCATCAGATATGTCGCCTTCAAGGAGTTTAACATATCTACAAATTAAAAATAACACATTTAAATGCATATACTTTGCTTACTAAATATATTTGCTATAATAAAAAGCTTTTCCTTAACCATACATTAGGTATACTACGTGGCGCAAGTGCTTCCAAATGTCGTATTACATATTACATGCCATATGTAGTCATTTAAGAAAAATGTCGGTGATGTAATATTTTTAACATGTCAATAGAAAACAAAACTATATACAATAATGTGGAAAACTGAATAAATTAACCTGTCCGAGCATTTTCCATAAAATCTAAAGACTACCAAATTATTAAAGGTCCATATTTTCTCACACTGATCCGCCATTGTACATTGAAGTGTTGTCATTTGTCGTCGACACACACGTTTTCGTATAATATATTACTTGTTATCTTCTTCTTAGCCATCTGTCGTCTATTTTTGGACAGAGACCTCTTCTAATCCTTTCCATTGATATCTACCTTGAGTAACATACTTCATACGTCATTTGTCATTTTTAGACCGATGCACAGTTTGGCAAAAACGCCAAAAACACTTAAAAATGTCTTTTTTTTCCCTATATTCAATCAATCGATTTTTCAATCAATAGTAATTTTGCACAGGCCTACCTTTTAGGCAATCAAAATTGGAATTTTAGAACCCTTTGAATTTGAAAAAAAAAAATTAAGAAATAGTGTATAATTTTTTTTATTAATAAAGGCGGATATATTAATTTCTTTCGTGAACAAAATTGGTTTTGATCAGCTCCGAAAACCTATAGAATTCAATGTTTTTTCCAAGACCCTACATAAAAAGGCCTCCTACTCTTTGAAATACATATTAATTAGTCATCAAGGGTCTGAATAAAGATGCTGTAAAGGAATTAGCTGCATAAAACTGCAAACTTTGGATCCGAAACCCAAACAAATCGAAAAAACTTGCTAATTAATCTAGTCGTCAATAGCGAAAATGCCATTGAACCTCTAAAGCTCACACGATTAAGTTAAATTTCGCCGAGAATGTCAATTTTGGAACCCAAAAAAAGATATAAAAAAGTTTACCACTCCTACCATCTGGATTTCTCCTAAAACCTTGAACAGAAATGTTAAATAACACTTTTTGCTTAAAAATTAACTGTTATCTCGGATTTAAAAAGCATATTTATACAGGGGGGTCCTTAAGTAATTGTACAAAAAAGAAACCGTAGATTCTGCACTTTAAAATATTACGATTTAAGCCAACTTGCCTTAACAAAATATTCATGTGAAGAAAGATACAGGGTGTTAAAGTGGAAATTTAAAATTGTATTTTTCGCTATCACTTTTATGATTGTAAACATTCGTGTATAAAAATTTACAACTAAGTACTTTTGAATATGGCAAATTATAATGTGATACAAACTTTGATGTAGCTGCTAGGTTAGATTAAAAAGCTTTGGCGATTTTAGGCCCCTTGTCTAACTCGTCTCTTAACTTGCCATAGTCATTTAAAACAATTTTACGAATTTTGTTAAATGATTACGTCACAAAAACTACGAAAAGGTGCCTCAGTTCAGTCAAAATTTATTAATTTGAGTTCAGATAATAGTTGGGGCTCACTTTAGATGAACACTAAATTACAAAATGGTGATTTATTTTGTAACAATTGGTAAAAAGATGAGTTTACACATAAAATAGGACTTATTAGGAATTATGGACTTATCAATATGAATAAAAAACTATATTTAACATTTCCTTACCTGTAGTTAAAACCTTCATCCCATTTTTTAATCTCCTGAGAAGCTCTATCTTTCGTGACCTTATTAAACCCACTTTCCATCGACAAGAATCTCACAAATAGCAAAGTCCCCTTCTCTCCCAACTTTTCCAAATCTGGATTAATATCAATCAGCGCTTGCAGACATTCTGGTAATTCGCAGGCTTCGTTCAGGGTGGCCAAAGCAGAGAGATAAATCGACCGGGATTTATCGTACAGCTGATTGACTAATAACTGAATGGCCCATGAAGAAAATAGAGGGTTTCCAGCACGAAGTAACACGTGGAGGAATTGAGTAGCATAGAGACGGGAACTTTCCTGATTACATGTTATTACAGCTTCTAAAATGTCTCTAGACGGACCTGGGAAAATATACTCCAATGACGATATTATGAGTTTCACGTAACAGTCATGGTTTGTAGTTGTTGCCAATTCTTTTAATCTGAAACGAAATAAAAATAATTGTAGTAATCTTATCTGTGCAAATATATATTTATAAGATTATTTGACATATTGCTACAAAATGTAATTCTAAATGTTACAAACATTTCGAACGGTCCTTTGAATGGTCCCTTAAACATGTTGAAACAGACTCTTCGACACTTCCGAAACATTTCACACAAAAAAGTACTGCTGATTTATGTATGAGAAAGCAATAATTACGAATAATAAATACTTAGCACAAATTGTTTATTGCTATTTCATCGTATTGATAGCCAGACATGAATGTTTGGGTTTTGATGTGAAACATCTAATGTGGCGTGTCAGATCGGCTAATGGAGTGATGACGCGTTGTCACGTTTTCGCAACAATTCGACTCTCTCCACCACTCCGTTTGGGTCTCTCTCTCTCTCTTTCTCTCCCTCACACACACACACACACACACCGCGCTGAGCGCATATACCTATAGTGTATGCAGTGTTTATGTTCACTTGGACAAATCTATCAAAATAACTGTAATCTATCAAAAAAATGTAAATAGGAGAGTTTTAGTTAATTTTATTTAATAAACCTTCTCGTGATTGGGGTAAATTATGTTTTAAATGTTATTTCAAATAAAAAATAAACTAAAATATATTACATTATTGTACACAATAGAATTGAATAATTTTTTAAGTAAGTTTAAAAATATATACTTACTTTTTAAACATATTGATGTTCTCCAAAACCTTAATTCCAATTTCAGTTCTCGAAAATTGTCCGATAAACAAAAAATAGCTTTGGCAATGCGTATTGACCATATGCTGAGGACTGAAGAGACAATCATGGACGCTCTTGCTCGTCATTATGGAATTAATATTGCTTAAAATGTCTTTAAAAAGATCCACGATCAAATTGAGCGGTTTGAGTCCATTGTAATCTGAATCTCGAAGTTCCACTAGGAAGTTGATGAGCTCTATACCAGCAGTGGTATAAACCACCGACGTTCTCGAAGCACCCAAGTCCATGTGAGAATACTTGTTTTTCGAAGGCATATAGAATTCGATCAGTTTTTTTATAAACGTCCGATGGGCAATGTCGTTTAGATCGATTCTAGAGTTGTTTTCTCCCTGAAAAAAAAAAATATAAGAAGTAATCATAATATGTTTGAAGTTTTAAGCTCTAGCCCTAAATGGGATAGCTTCAAAACATATAATATAAACGCATCGACCCCTTCTGCAAATGTCGTGAAAGGTTGATCCCTTCATTTTACTTTACGATGAATCTGTATAAAAGAAGTCTTTTGGAAGCTATAATATAGCTTTCAAACGTATATATAAAGATATATATACATATATACGTTTTTTGCTAAAAAAGTCACTTGTTTAAGACGACCTCATGGGAGTTCGCATTATCATGATGGGAAATAGTGTATCTTCGGTCGTTAATTTTCCTAAACACACTTTTGGCTAAAGTTTTTCTCAGAGCCTTCTTTCAGTGCGTCACAGTTTTTCGATTTCTTTTTAACGCATTAAGTAAGATGTGACGAAAAAAGCGGTAGTTCAGACCGTTTATTGTTTAAAATTTTTGGCATTATTAGTCTCTATTTTATTCTTCTACATTTTTTTAATTTTCTCGTGTAATATTTAGTGTTATTTAGGTCCTTATATTCCTAGTATCTCCTAGTTATTTAGTTGTGTGTATTTGTAGCTATTTAGTTATTTTCCTTACGTTATATGTATGGCACACAGAACACTTTAATTGTTTTTCCAGTGTTCCCGGAAAATGAAAGCCTTCGGTGACTTCAATGCTGAAACCAGCTTTTCTTTTCCTTTGTGTTCTTTAAGTGACACCATCTCTCAAATAAATACGTACTATTTTCATCGTATCTCAAATAACTACACATTTTTAGAAGGAATTTGATGAATTTTCTAGGTATTAGTCAGGATCATGTCAAGAAAATACGTAAATAAAACCCACCACTTTTTACCTTTCATACTTATTTGATATAATGATCTGCACTGATCATGCGCGTCTACTCCACCCTTTCCAGAATTGCAGGAAGCAAACAATTTTGGCTGTAATACATTTTCTTTTGATTTTGATGCTCTGGACCACTCTTATACGTGACCTAATGGTTCAATGGTACTATAATTGGACAACATAGAACAAACACTATTTTCATGCGATTTCACATTCAAAATTTCATTAGTTTTGTCAAATTTATAATCAAATGTACCTCTTGCCATTTTCTTCATTAGCGTAGACTCCATTACTGGACATTTTTGCACACGATTTTCTCTTACAATTCCTGCCGTCTTTATGTTTTTTGTTTCAGATAATATATCATTAGTTGATAAATATGTCGTAAAATAATTATATTAGTTACCTAATAAACATTTTTGAAAACAGCCTTTTTGTGTTTACACAAAATGACGGAAACTTATTTAATTGTATAACTAGAAAACTAAGCTTGTATTATATAATATAAAAAGAAAACAATAAATGACCCGATTTGTTGTCATTTTTAAATGTTTCCAAATTTATAAATTTAACAAACAATATTGTTTACTATTTAATCCACCTTAACACTAGTTTAATGCCATAAGCTTTTCACCTGGGTCTAAGTACGACCCTGGCATTTGTCAGATTCGTCAATAATTACATGAAATAATTTCCGAAACTTCAAATATATTATATGACGTCATAATTAATGACGCACTGAAAGAAGGCTCTGAGAAGAACCATATCGATGGTGTTGTGGCAACATATCCAGTTTTCCGAAGAAACATTCAACACGTTCGTCTTTACCCAATTCCACTGAGTTATCGTGTCACAACTTAGAACACCATGTAAGATATTTTTCAACGCTCCTATAGATCCATAGGAACTACATATTTCGATCTATATCAAATGCAAACAAATAATTTATGTCCGAACTACCTATCATGGACCTTTGGCCACGGGTTTTATTGAACGTATATGTGTGTTGGTCTTTCTGGTCAAACAATGTGTTGTTTATTCTAAATTCGTTAGTCGTACAGAAGTTTATCATCAGTTATCCATTTTCTTTTTGATCATTTTCGTTATATTATATTATTTTATACTCCAATGATGTTCAGGTCTTCCTTATCCATTCTTATCTTTGTTGTTATATAGCTTTCTTGGTATCTTTGATCTATTAGTAAGGCTGAACCTTATTTTGCTCTGCTTTCTTATGCTTTTTTTCACTAAAAAGACCACATGTCTTTTTATGAAGGCCTTACGACTAAGTGCTAAAGACAAGTACTGTCTCGCCTAATTTAGGAAAAAGAATAGGACTAATGAAAAGTATAAAAGTAGAATGGTTGATCTCTACTCTTAAATTACTCTTTCTGATTTTTTACTTTGATACCTTTTATTTTTGTACGGAAGGTTGAATAATATCAAAACAATATTAGAAGGGAAGCCAAAGGACCACATATTAAGAAAAACCTGACATAAACTCTAGAATAGAAATTTACTCAATAGAAAAATCAACTATTAGATGACTTACAACATAATATTACGGTAAGTGAATTAAGATATTTTCCAGTATGTTGTTGTTTTTAATACCTAAATGACATATTTTTTATTTTTTTTTAAGATGATTTACTATATTGAAAAATAAAAGTATTTCCTTAGATAGCATAATCAGAATGTCCAATAAAAGTTTCAAATATCTCACCTTTAATACAATATTGATTAAACTCCAATCCCATGTGTAAGCATCGTTGCTTAATAATACTCCGGTTTCCTTAACTGGATCATCGCCATCTCTTAGAACCAACTGAAAATGAAGTATAATAATAAGAATATTTTATACAACTCTATCACTATCATACAATTGGACCAATTTAGCTTGGAAATATCCATGTAAAATTTGACCGAATTCAATAATTTTTTTATATTGAGTAATAAAAGGTTTGTTCAAGTTTTCAGGGCGTAGAGCGATATATTTTCCTAGTCGAAAATGGAGAATTTTAATTCAAATTTTGAAAATTAATAAAAATATCTAGTTCTGACAAATTTTAAAGTATTGATTCCAATTTCCTGTGCATATACAATACATTAAATTTGTACTTAAACCGACCAGGCTTAAATATTACCATTTGATCGATAATAAATATTCCAAACGATTTGCTTCGCCTTCTTATGCTGTTTATAGAAATTATAATTTAAAAGATCTAATATTGTTTGCATTAAAACATCATATTCAAATATAAACTGGCATTTCTTACATTTAAACTAGGACTGTTTCTAAAACGATCTAGAATTATTTGAAAATTCCTATTTATTTTATAAAACTACTTTTTAAAATCGGTTTTGAACTGCATCAGATTTATAGATCAATTTACTAATTTTATACACTGTAACTTAGCTAATAGGAAGACGATCTGCATGTTCTCATAACTACTCTAAAAATAAAAAATCCGATGTACTACTACGAAAAATTTGTAGTACACTTTTGGTTTTTAAAATTTTTTTTTTTTCATTTTTTAACTAGTTACACCTTTAGAAAAACATTAACAGAAAAGAATTCAAAGCAACCACAAGACGATGCAGACGTCAGAATGGTGACCTATTAACAACAAGGAAAGATGTATAGATGGTAGAATACTTTAACCAGGCACTTAATACAGAGGAAGAAGAAGAAAACCTGGAAGACAAAAGAGATGGGGTAAGGGGAACAGACGAGAGGGAAGAGGAACCACCGACAATTTTTGAAGTTAAAGATAAGTTAAAAAACTAGCCAGAAACAAAATCACCCGGAATAGATAATCTCCCAGCTGAACTATATAAAGAACATTACAGCAGTTTATAAAAGAAATATGAACACAGGGATCCCTCCCCAATGATTGGAACATTGGAATACTTTGCACCATACACAAAAAAAAGAGATATCTTTAAATGCTCTAACCACAGAGGAATTACGCTTCTAAATGCAGTGTATAAAATATTATCCACAGTACTATGCCACAGTATGGCATCATATGCAGAACGGATATTAGGAAAATATCAGGCTGGTTTCAGAGGTGGTAAATTGACAATGCATCAGATTGCAACACTGAAACAAATTTTAGAAAAGCAACTGGGATATGACATTGACACTCATCACATATTTGTAGACTAAAAAGCATCCTACGACTCTGTGAATAGAAAAGAAATGTTCAAAGCAATGAAAGAGCTAGGAATACCAAATCAGTTGGTAAATTTAACAAAACTAAGTCTTGAAAAAGTTTAATGTAGAGTACGAATTCAGGGAGAACTGTCTGAACCTTTTAAAACAAATAACCGCCTGCGCCAGGGAGATTCTCTCTCCTGTATACTGTTCAATCTGGCTCTGGAAAAAGTATTACGTATGTCACAAATCACAACCACTGGTTCTATATAATAAATCAGTGCAAATCCTTGACTATGCTGATGATATCAATATTGTTGGGAGAACGGAAAACGCTGAGACATACGTCTCTCGTACAGAGACTTAAAAGAATAAGCTTCAAATATGGGTTTAATAATAAACAGCAACAAAACGAAGTATATGAAAATTAGCACGCAACCCCAAATCCTACGATGACTTGTTATAGAAAACGACGTCATCGAAGCAGTGAACGAATTTGTATATCTGGGGCTCTCCTTAGCACTGAAAATAATACTGCCGCAGAAATAAACCACAGAAGAAATACAAAAATAAAACTCTACAAAACAATAATACGTCCACTCCTAACATATGGTTCAGAGACCTGGACCCTAACAAAAAAATAATAAAACATGTTAGGATGTTTCGAAAGAGGCGAATCTATGGAGTAGTGAATGACAATGGGGTGTAAGACGATACAACTTCGAACTTTATAGAATATACCAGGATCCTGATATGGTAAAACATATTAAGGTGGTATTTCACAATGTTAAAATTTATATACTTTTTAGGTACAGTTATCGTCACTATTTCAAAACAAATCTTCAACTTATGGTAAACTGTAAACTTTCTACTTTAATGATATCTAGTTAACATTTCCAAAGGAAGCAGTATTTTTTTCATAACTGTACTTAAATGAATCCATATCATAACTTACGTAGTAACGTGCCTAAAAATTGGTATATTGAAATAATTTTTGAACTTAGGTACAAAATAACTACGTTAAATGATTAACTATCCAAAAACCTTTATTTTAAGCAAGTGTTCGTTATTCATCCTGCCGTAATTTTTAAATTAACTGTACCTTAAGATAAAATTACAATTAAAAGCTGCAAACCAGGGATTTTGTTGATGTTACCATAATAAGTTGGCATTTTGATAGTGAGAAATTAGTTCAGCTATCACTTAATAGGTGAGAAAATAAGTTCACGTGTCATTTAGTAGAAGGCAGTAGTGATGTATTAAATAGTGAAAAATCTGTAAAACATTGAAAACTAGTTTTGTGGTTAGATATACCAATTGTCTATGAGTTATGCACTAACCATGGTAACGAATCACGTGGTTTTGTTAGCAAAGCGGCCCCTCCCAGTAAATATTTTGGCATCGTTTGACTTTCTTTGTTCAATCATGATTGTATAACGGAACAATGTCTTAAATATACAAGTATACCATTTTTTTCCTTGGCACCCTGACGTTATATAAACGTGGTTGAAAGTCAAAAATTTAAATTTTAGTTGAAAAATTTAATTTTTATAGACAAAACAATATGTAATGTAAATTTTGTCGATTAATTATTTCCGGAAGAGAAAAAAATTATTAATATTTACTTGTGTCATAATTAGAAATGAGATGAAAATCTGAAATTTTCTGAGGAAAACACTTCCCCTGTTGACATTCGATATGAAAAAAATGTTATTGTAGTGACGTTGTTTTTCAACTGATTAACATATTTTAGATTTCTTATAAATACTGTTTTTATACATTCCAATTACCATAATCCCTTTTTGATCATTATTTACCTGTTTTTCAAACAATTGCAAATTTCTTTATCAGTTTGGAATAAATATTTTTGGGCAGGTAAATAATTCAGAATTGTCGCCTGAAATGTGAGTAATAACATACTTAGAAATGAATAAACGTTTTGTGTATACATAGTAGTATAAATGTCAAGCAACTATATTTATTTAACAAAATCAGTAATCAGCTCATCCAGCTGAGTGCTGGTGGGGAGGCATTAGTCTAAAGCCGGCCACTCACAGTACAGCGGTGTCGTTCGACATAATCGGACAGCGGCGTTGTTCAATTTGTTGGCATATCTTGTTTTAGTCAAACGGCTTATTACGCAATTTGAGAAAAATATTTTAATTGCAGCGAAGTATATTTTCGATGTGTTTAAAAAAGCCGGTCAAGAACAGATGCAAATAAATCGAGAAAAAGAATTGCTCGAGAATGAGTTTGATGAGTGAATCTTAATGGCGGAAAAGGCGACAAAGGAGGCAAGGAAAGAAGGTTTAGTTAGAAAAACGTTTAGTTAAAACACTGCTCAGCTAGAGGAAGAACATGCCTTTAATAATGATGGATTATTACTATATGATCCAGGAATAGCAGATTGATCAATTTTAAGTCATCAAACTCGATATTTTTAATAAAAATCAAAATGATTTGAATGAATTTTGGTACGTTTTACTTGATAACCTATCTTACATGCAAATTCACCTCAATTAGACGAAAAACTGAAAAAAAAAAATTTTGACGTAAGAAAATGGCGAAAAAAATGGTCATTTTTCGACACATTTTTGGTGTACAAAAAAGGCACAATTATGCCTTTTTTGCACGCCAAAATTGTACTAGTACTTTAAAAAATATATAGTTATCTAATTTGATCATAGCCATTTGAAGACACTCCAAATCCATTGGCGTAGTTTTTTAGGCCGTTTTTTTATAACAGTCGCTAATCAAAACTGTCTATTTTCAAAAATTATTTCTGATATGAGTTTACTAAATTATCTATAATTTATTTACCTGATGTAATTTCCTTTGTATAGTACTAACATGTCTATATTTTACATTTTTAACATGTTTGTGTTCATTTCTTTTGTGAACACTATTCCTAATTATATAATCTAGATGAAGACTGTAAGAAGCTGGTCTGCGTTTCATTAACCTTAAAAATAAATCCATATTAAAATAACAACAAGGTGTAATGATGAAAATATATTTAAAAGCATCTAACTACCATTTAGAATAATGATGTGGTATTTATTACTGGTCTATGAATTATTATGTATAATATTAGGTATAATAAGTAAATAAACTCTTACATGTGTAGTTGTTGCAGCGCAGTAATCGCAGCAATAGCTTGGGGTTTACTCTTCGTTGCATATTCTAATAACGATGGAAGTGAAGGAGAAATATTACAACAACCAGGAGGTAACAATACTTGGATAAGTCTTAAAAGTTCACCTAAAAAAACATAAAAACATTTATAAAGTAATATTTTTATACATTATACTGATTAATAATAAAACATAATTAAAGAATCAGATTAGTAAATATCAACTAAACCGAGCAGTCAAAACAATTTTGTTTGTTGATGACCAGTAAGTAATTTGAAAAGTATGAAAAAGATCCTCAAACATATCGATAAGAATAAACATACAATTGAGTGTTTTATGACAGGGTTCGTTAAGTTGCAACGATTAAAACGTTACATTTTTGTTCTTATTAATTTCAAAGTACTTTCCATTATTTTCTGCTCGTACTATTTGATTCTTGTTGATAATAACTTCTTTTTCCTTTGTTTTTATTCCTATATTTAATTTCAATATTTTCCTACTACAAATAAATGCACCGATTAATTTTTTAAGTCCTCTTGTAGTGGTACCTGCGCTTACTTTGTCATACGAGAAATAGAAACCCCGCTACTAAATAATTTACTTGTATGAATCCGATTCGATTTACTTCCTTTTTAAAATAAACCAGCAACCAACAAGGTACTCCATAAAAATAAATCTTCGTCGTCAGAAACTTCCAACAGTCTGGGTAAGTTTCATACTTTGTTTACAACGACAACATATTATCATACATTAATCAAGAACATGAGCACTGTTAGTTTTTTCTTATAATTTTGTGTACGCTACTACTTAAAAACCGCTTAGAATTTTTATTTTCTTTTTACCTATACTTGCTGTAATAATAATAATTCAATATAAATCTCACTAGAATGAATCGCTTTCGTTTTCCATTTAATAATTAATTAATCTATTAATTGCAATTGCTAATTCGTGAGTTTTGGCAACATCAGAGAATTCTGAATCGGTATGCAGGTCTTAGAGAGAAGAGCTTTCCGCTTACCAGAATTCTTCTGTTTTTGGACAAAACTCGTGTTATGACAAATTTTATACAGGCTTTTGTTTTTCCAGCCACCTGGTTTTGGTTTAAGAAATCCACATGGTTTTGGTTTATGAAAACCACATGGTTTTCTTTTAAGAAATCCACATGGTTTTGATTTAAAAAAATCCACATGTTTTTAGTTTAAGAAAATAGAGGCATGGTTTTGATGCAGATAATTTATGGATCGAGTTGAGAAGAGAACAACAGCAGGATCTCTTATGGAAGTTAAGCTGCTAAGTTTCTTTCTTTCTTTGAATTTGTGTATACATGCTTAATTCTCTGTTATCAAACCCCAATTTTTAATTATTATTAAATTTTAATTTGTTATTTTATTAATTTATCAATTAATAAAGAGTGTGTTGATCTATGTGTTGAAAATTTATTTTATTAATAATTCCCGATTTCTCCAAAATTAATTAGTTTATGCCGAACAACACCCCTGAGGGGTTTTAATGTGCAATGGATGAGCTAGTCGTTACAAAGTTTTGGATTAGATATTGCACACAACAAAAAGCGTCATCATTACCTCATAGGAGGTAATTGTAATTCCCGATCTCCTCCGACACCATATCACGACAGAAAATCATTTAGTAGCACCTAACAACGCATGGGATTTACATCTCCGTCATTCGAATTCGATTATTGTTTTCATTAGGTATACCCGGTTCATTTCTTATAGTACATAAATTATATAAAAATACACTGACCTTTATAAAGCCGTGCATTTGTATTGGTTTTTAATAATGTGAACATTTTTTTGTGGATGAATTAAAAAAAGCGCATTTCTTTAAAAAGATAAAATAAAAAATACAGCTGAACAGTATCCCAATCTGCCATAAAAACTTCTGCGGACAGATGTAAGAGTTTCTGCTGTAGCAAAATTGGGAGACTTCTCTTGGTTTGGTTAGGTTTTCTAGTTTTTGGGCTCTAACCTCAGGTTTACATACAAACAATGTTTGTAACAATGTAAACAATGTTTGTATTTTGAGAACGATTTCCGAAGTGGAAATTGAAACGTCAATAAACGTATTTTAACCTTTAATTGTGTATCCAGGTATTCTCTTTCCTCAATTTTTTCTGATGATTCGTTTTAAGTGTGACATTTTCAGTAATTTTAACAACTCTCAAGAATTTTAAACAATATTATGAATTGACTGTACGCAAGGAATTGGTCTCCCCTTAAAAATCACAGAAAATAAATCTACACATTGTTGTCCCCAATTACCACCATAAAAGTATTTTATTATTTGAACTTTTTCTTCTGGTGCATAAACAGACATGTTTATAAAAATAAATTAAACCACTGTATAATGAGAAAAATTATTGGCGATGGGTCAACGAAGCAGGTTCGTGGAAAATCGACGGCGCGCAGTGTTGCCATTTAGAGGGTGTATATCTAATTTAAAACTTAAAGGTAAAGCGTATACAATTTAATTTTATGGTCAAGCAAATGTTGTTATTAATTACTTTGTTATAAAACTTGTCTTTGCTTCCATTATTTAATAAATAAAAAAGTATAGTCCCCCAGTTCACCACATAAACATAAGGAATCATCAATTAAACGAATTTTACATTTATATCTGGTTGACATTAAGAACAAACTTGCAAAGGGAGATAACTGCAAATGAATACTTTTTATGTCGATGAAATCTTTTTGGTTTTTTGTCAACAGATAATCCAGTTAAAGTTACGACGAACACCGCAAAGTGACTTTTTTTGCATCTTGGAAAATTAGCAATTATTTTCTTAATTTTTAATATTTTTGTACTAAAATTTCAGAAAATACTCAAGAAATGTTATACTATAATGTACTAATGTGTACTATAAATTTATATTAAACAATTTTTCAAAAATAACTCCTCAAAATATGTTTAAAATATTGCAAATCACTCCTATCCCTCACCCCTTAACTGACATTATATTTTTTAATAATATCCTTAGTTTGATATATAAATAAATACAAATTTTATTTATTTATAAAACAAAACAAAATAAATTCACAAAAATACTTTAAATAAATTTAAATTTTCATAAATTACATAAAAGTGTAATCCCTTTTACCTAATTAGTATTACGATATTTTAAGACTTTAAGAGATTAATTATTATATGAAGGTTTATCTCTCAAATATTTAAATTTCAAATTATTTACTTATAACTTTGGTTGAAGCAGATTTTAAATTAATTAGTACAATAAAAATACATACCTAGCAAAATAGAAGCTCTGACGCATATAAATGTATCACTGGTTGCTATCACCTCTGTCAAAGCTGCCAAAAGGCCGTTTTCTAGAAAACAATATAACAAGAGGGCCAAATGCATATCGGTTGTACTTGGAGTTGTTTTGGCCAAATGAGGTAGAATGGATCGACCCTCCGCCACTACGAAACCTTCGTTCAGCCGCCATGAGGCTTGCGGCTCGCACGGATCAACTGCACTCAACGCTACGGACAATTCATCTGACCATTCCGGTTGGGACAGACCAAGCAGTTCGTACAGAAGATCTAATACTGATTTCTAAAGACATAAATTTTTCGTTATTACAAAGTAAAGTTAAGAAGTTAAGAATAGAAACAACAATGATAAATTAGTTTTTTTCCCAACTGATATAAATAAAATTATCCTACTAGCCGATCGTGAGGGTAGCCAGATATGGCGATAGGTTGGGCAGTGGTAGCTGGCTGTTCCAAAACTGATCATGCGGCGAGAATATATATATATATATATATATATATATATATATATATAGGTAGCCACAGAAACGGCACATATACAGCGATGTAGAAGGCAATGGGAAACAACTGCACTATTTCCCCATGAGAATTTCTTCCCATAAAGATGACAATTTCAATAAGTGAAGATTGGATCAAAATCGAGGGTAAAAGGGGTATAGGAAGAAAGAAGAAATCCTGGCTCCGAAACATCAGAGATTGGACTCACACAACAGGAAATGACTTAATCCATCAAGCCCAGAACAGAGAGAAATTTGCCATATTGATCGCCAACCTCAATAGAGAAGGCACTTAGGATGAGGAGGAAGATTGGACGTGTAGCGACCCGACTCACGCTCGGCGCCATCTCGGTTCCGGGTCGGATGGTGTGAAATATGCTACCTACCGGCTGCCAAGGTGTAAGAGACCAGGCAACTAGCAGAAATTGTGCGACTGAATCGAAATTTTCACTCAATTTGAGAAAAAGGCAGCGAATTGCTACATGAAACTACCAGGGACTGATCCAATGCCCTGAAAACTTACACATAATTGAAAAAGAAATGACAGACCACAATCTTTCGGCACTGGGACTCCCAGAAACTCATTGGAGAGGTAAAGGGCATTTTAAAACAACTGCTGACAACGTTATCTATTTGTCAGGCCCGATAACACAAGTACAAATGGAGTCGCAATAAGTGTACCCTCTAAACTGAACGACTGCGTAATTGGATGTATCCACCAATACTCTACACCTTGTCCAGATATACGTTCCTACAACAGCTGCACAAGAATACATCAACAGGTTCTACGGTCGTCTAGAAGAAATTGTTAGCGGTATTCCAAATCGTGAACGAATCATAATTTTAGGAGACTTTAACGCCAAAGTAGGGTCATCTAATGAAAATGTTGAAGGAATGCTGGGCAAAAATGGACTGGGACAAGAAATGAGAATGGTGACCGTCTAGTGGAGTTCTATGAAGAACAACCTCTTACAATTACAAACACGTTCTATCAAAATTATCCACGGAATTTATACACTTGGCCCAGATCGAAGAACAAGATATTAAATAGACTACATCCTAATAAGATCAAGATAAAAGTCGTGGCCCATCAACTATAAAACATATCCTGGCGCAAACTGAAGCGATACTTAACTGCTAGTATTAAACGTTCGACTTCGTTTTAAAGTCCCCAAAAATAAGACCTCTAAGAAAAGTAATGTCTCTAAATCCATTAAAAATCAATGACTTTCAACAAAACCTAGAATAAACTCTTTCTTTAGACCAAGTAGATAGTGACCCTAAGAACACTTGGATCGTTCTTAAAGATATGGTAATCGAGGCTGCAAAAGACTTTGAGGCAGCGGTTTCCATGGCAGTAAGTCGTGGATATCCGGTAATACGTGGACTGTAATTCAACTCAAAAAATATCATATAACTAGTTACGGAACAAACGATGAATACAGAGCGTTATCGAAAGAAATTAGAAAACAGTGCCGCAAAGACAAATACGATTACATCTCTTAAATATGCAGGGAGATAGCGAAACAGGGTTGTCGAAATGAACCGAGGGACTTATTTTAGAAGATCAAACTCCTTACCAAGAATTTGAATCTCAAACGTGGTCTGTAATAGATATGGAAGGTAATCTAAAGACCGATAATGACGAAATATTGGAAACATGGCGAAACTATTGTGGCGAGCTATACAAAAATAACGAGATACCACTTGTTACTAGGTAACAAATGATTACATATCCATTCTATCTGTGTCGTTGTTTGGAATTCAGGAAAATGGCCATCTGATTGGTATACCTTAATTTATATCCCGCTACACAAAAAAAGGAACTACTACCAGATGTGAAAACTACCGCACACTGTCACTAATAAAACATGCAGGTAAAATCTTGTTGCATATCATCAAAAACAGATTAAAAACCTATGTACATTACAAAATACCTCAGGAACAAGCGGGGTTTGTAAAGAGTAAAGGTACACGGGAAAAAATCCTGAACCTGACACAACTCATTGGAAAGTCTAGGAAAATTTCAAGTACCTATGATTATAATATGCTTCGTGACTACCAAAGGGCATTTGATTGTGTAAGCTGGATAAATCTGTGGTCCATTTGAATAGAAATGGCACACCAATGCACCTGGTGACACTTATTAAAAATCTGTACCAGTCCAATATAGCAACAGTACGACTAGATTAGAAGTTCTCGAACCAATTTAAGATCGAGAGAGGTGTTGACAAGGTGCGTGTTGTCACCTGACTTATTCAACATTTATGGTGAACATATCACCATTTATGGTGTAAAGTCACCTGACTTATTCAACATTTATGGTGAAATGTCATGAGGTTGGCTTTAGACGCATTGGCCGTGGAGTAATACTGGCTGTAGGAAAATATCCAATGTAAGATTTGCTGATGGCACTGCACTTATTGCAGCAAATGAACAAGAAATGTTTAATCTAATGCGAAAAGTTGAGTACGAAAGCAATAAAGTTACATGGAGTAAAATGAGAAATGCTCTGAAAAAGAATGACTAAAGGAGTTAGATAACTCATTTAACATGCATAAAAAATTAAATAATCTGCTGGAAATTACAAAATTAGGAAGTAGATTAACAGACGGAAACAAATAGGAAACAGTGGACATATACAAAACATCAAGGAATATTTTAGAAAATAATTGACGTCATATTTTTGACATATGTCAATAAAAACAAATGAATTCTATCAGAATGTGGGAAACTGGAAAAATAAATTGACTTGTTCAGGCTTATTACACACTGTCGTTATTGAACATTTAATGGTAGTAATTTCGAAACAGAGCAAAAAAATTGTAAAAAAATCTAGAAGTATATTGAAGTGACATTTCAAAGTGAACAGTGAGGTAAAATGATGTAAATAATTCAAATGATGTAAAATCTTATATAAGTTGTATGATTCAACTCAAATTAATATATTATTATATAATTTTCAAAATAATATGAAAATAATGTGGCGGATTTATAAATTTATCTCAGAAAAATGGCGACTTTATAGAAAGCCTTATTGAAAGTGATGTATGTAATGGCACAAGCCGCCCCTTTTTAAATAAATGATTAATAGGAACACTCATAACGAAAACCATATTAGGAGATTATCGTAGATAAGTAGAAATTAAAAATTACAATTTAAACAAATTTATAATGTTTAAAAATTCACAGAGTTACGCTACCAGTATACAGGTCAGGTTTATCGAACAATAACCGAATAGAAATTGTAATTAAAACGGTGAAGATAAAATGATGTTAGGTAGGAGTAAAATATCAAGAAAAACGTCTGAAAACAATAGAAACCAGAACGTATATATGATTCAAATGATGCGAGTAGTCATGACATGATGGAGGAAATCAAAATTTACGCAGAGATACTAAAATGTATCAAGGAACGGAAAAGAAAAATATGGGACTAGAAAGGTTTGAAGGAAGCAAATATAAGAATAAAACAATTAGAAAGAAACGCAAAGAAAAATAATATCGTCAAAGGTCTAACTATAAAAAACAGTGACAATAAAGCCATCAAAAAATTACGAGTTGCACGTAGAGACGCTGGAAAAATAAGAGGTAGGACATTTTCAATAGAAATGAAAAAGGTGTCTGCAAGATACAAGTGTTAAAAACTATATTACGGATCATGAAATCAACATCAAATCAGACCTGGCCAGAAAGAAGAGGGAAAATCGGGCAGAAATCAGGGAAATAGCCAACGACGAAGCCATATACGGAACTGAGAGTAAATGGAATGGAAATAGGACGATAAAGAAGAAATGATCCGAGGAAACCAAGCTATAGGAAACAAGTCTACCAAAAAACAAATAGTGCATAGTGTAGTAGTAGATAAAACTAGTACCTAATTATAAGGGGGGATTGAAACTCACGAGTAAGAAGAGATAAACAGTGGTGCTGGCTGTATAGGAGGAAACTAAGAGGATAAAATGAACAGAATTGGAGAAAGAATGATAGAATTATGTACAATAAATGATATTAAGATCCAAAAATATATTCTGGAAACAATTAAAAGAAGACAAATATACTTATGTGGTAGAAGCAACGAATACGAAAAGTACATCATTTACACGGAAGAAATGGAACAACTAATAAAGAACATACAAACGGATAAATACACAGAAATAGACACAAATCATAGATTATGTAACACTAAAACACTGAAAACTTTGTTTTCAAACTTCCACAAAATTTATTTTAAATATTATCACTACAGCTGTTTCGGCTGATTGCCTTTCTCAAGTGATCTATTTTGGCTTGGGTTTACAAATTTATAGTCGCTAATGAAATAGGTTGAGGAGGGAGAACTGTTTGTCTCAAGTTGGTCAGTCAGAATTATATCTGTGTTTTTTAATTTGTTGATTTCCATAGATTCTAACAAAGATAGCTTAAGGCTTTATTTTGAATGTGAAGAATTTTAAATTTGTCATTAAAAGAATGATTATGATCTAGAAGGTGAAGTGCGTATGTCGAATCTGTTTTTCTATTCTTGAAAGCCCTTTTATGTTCTGCTATTCGTTTATCAAAGTTTCTACCAGTTTTGACCGATGTAAGTTTTTGGGCAGTCGCCACATTGAAGTTTGTACACACCACTATTTAAGTGTTTTTTATTTTGGCTCTTGTTATTTTTAATATATTTTTTTTATATTTTTTTTATATTTTATAAAAAAAAATATTTTTTTTATATTTTATAAATATATTTATATATTTTATAAATATATATCTTTGTTAGAATCTATGGAAATCAACAAATTAAAAAACACAGATATAATTCTGAATGACCAACTTGAGACAAACAGTTTCTCCCCTCCTCAACCTATTTCATTAGAGACTATAAATTTGTAAACCCAAGCCAAAATAGATCACTTGAGAAAGGCAATCAGCCGAAACAGCTGTAGTGATAATATTTAAAATAAATTTTGTGGAAGTTTTTTCCATCCGTCCCATATAAAAAAAAATATTTTTTTTATATTTTATAAATATATTTATATATTTTATAAATATATATCTTTGTTAGAATCTATGGAAATCAACAAATTAAAAAACACAGATATAATTCTGAATGACCAACTTGAGACAAACAGTTCTCCCCTCCTCAACCTATTTCATTAGAGACTATAAATTTGTAAACCCAAGCCAAAATAGATCACTTGAGAAAGGCAATCAGCCGAAACAGCTGTAGTGATAATATTTAAAATAAATTTTGTGGAAGTTTAAAAACAAAGTTTTCAGAGTTTTATTGTTACATAAAATGAATTTCCATCAAGTAACGGTCGAATCCATCAATTAATCATAGATTAGTGAAGGCAGAGATAATACAGACATTCGAAAGAATGAATAGCGGAATAACAAAATTTAATAGAATTATAAATGGGGAAATAAAACAGGAAACCATAATAAATAATATGGTTAATAATCAGCAAGTTGGTACGTACACATTTGCAGAATGGAAGTTAGTAGACTGGCCAAAAGGGTTTACGAAGCAAGAAGAAGAAGTAGAACGAAAGGTAGACCTAGGAAAGCATGGCCACAACGAATACTAAAAATAGAGAAACATAGAAAAACCCATGAGAGAAATGAAAGAATTGAAGGGACCAAAAGGAGTGGAAAAATGAATAAATATTGAAGAAAATTTATCACCTATGGCTCTCCGGAGGAATAAGAAATCACCAGCTGAAAGAAGAATATGGATACTCATAACTCCAACAGTGCGCTGCATGTCCTATTTATATATTAATGTACAATTAATACAATCGGACAATTTTGGTTTTATTATATTATTATATGGTACTAAAAAGTAGTACTAAGCATTTTATATACATATTTTCAAATAATATACTCACTCTAACTTCAAGTTGAGGTAAGTACAGAACTTCGACAATTGCTCTGAAACCTCCTCTATCAGTCGGGCTACAAAAATGTAAAATACCCGGCCAACTTCGCAGTATCGTTAGTAAAGATAATCGAGCACAATTTAATCTCAGCTCACGTTCATCTCTCCTGAAATTATAAAAAAATAGTTAAGTAATCTCAATACAAAAGGGTGCCCTTCATATATTTTAAGCCATATTTAAACCCCTAATAACTTCACTTCCAAACATTTTCTGTGCGCTTTTCGAGTGATTGATAGATCATTCCCTGGTTAACAGAAGTTGATGATATTGATGCACATGGTAGGAACGCAACAGGATAGCTTTCACGATGTCAGATTTGATCACTCGTTGATTCTGATCCTAGATATTGTATCTTCTTACAGCGGTTCGGTTTCTTGTAAGCCGACAACTTCATCAACCAAAAATAGCAATATGTCAAGTGGGATTTCATTTTTCTCCATATTCCTGGGACGACAACAAGTATTTTTCGGCATATCCACTCTCCAGAGAGAATAAGAAATCTATAGGCTGGATTCATCTTGACCCTCATCTCATCTAGGTCTCCCCATTTCTAGGGCACCAGTAACCCACCCGGTTTTTGATGTTCCGTCGAAGAAGACCACAAGGCAAGTGTAATAATAAATGCGTTCACAATAAAAATCTACCAGCTGTTTCTGCAATGTTAACCATATTAGAATAATACTCGGATGTATCTTGTATCTTATATCTGACCTTGACTCATTCAAAGAGGTGTGAAGCCACGTCCATGTGTGAAGCATTAAATTAGTATATCAAATGAGTGTCTATGTAGTTGTCGATGTTAAATTAAATTAATAACAGATGTCCCTGTGTAAAACATAGTATAATTTTTCATGAATGTTTTCAATTCTTCTATAGATTTTAAATTTTACAGTACCAAATGTGTTTTTAATGAATTATATAACCATATATTTTTTCTTCTTCTCTTGGCACTACAACACTTTTATGAGTTTTGGCCTGTTAAACAATATTCTTCCATTTTGCCCTGATCGCTACTTTCCTTCTTCACTGCATGATGTTCATGGTTTTTAAATCATTTTCTACATCGTCTTTCCATCTTTTATTGGCCTCTTGTTCTTTTTTCTTGGAGTTTTCTTCTGGATTACTTTTACAGCTCGATTCTCCGGCAATCTTTCTAAATGGCCAAGCCAGTTTGGTTTTTGTGACTTTACAAATCTGACTATGTCTGCACTTTGCATTAACTCGTGATTCTTGTAATTATCCCCTACATACCATCGATACAATTGATTGAAATAGTGCACGTTTCGCATTCAAATATATCCGCTGGCCGAATAACTGTTTTGTAGATTCTTAGCTTAGAATCTCGATTCAGCAATTTGTTCTTTTTTAGTCTGTGTATATATCAAGCACTTATTACCGTTAAGAATCCGTGTTTACGTTTTTTGAATGACATTCAGTCATGTATTATTGAGCCCATGTGGCAGGCACATTGATTTTCTACGTTTAGAATGTTATATATTAGAAATGAAATACAAGACTTACTTGTTCTTATCTTTGGATCCGTGTTTGTAGTGAAAATCGCAATAAGGAGCTGCTGTGCAATGCAAATCGATGGCAGCTATATTTCTAGTCGACGGTTTATCTAAAAGTAAAAGCAGCACCCCGCATAAGGATTCAGCTATTTTAGGACTTTGGCACTCTAATAAATTTCGAGATATTGCTGTGACGCCGCCAGAGGCAATAAACAATTTTGCATTTAGAACACCTAAAAATAAATAAAATAACTTATTAAAAAATAAGTTTAAAAAATAGTGCAATCTGGATGATAATAATATCTTTAAACATTAAATCCCTTTTAATGTCGAATGTGTGTACATAGTTTTTCACTTTAATCAAATATTATGTATCTATCTTGTTCGTACAACGTATGGCTGGCTACCCCCTACTTTTTTAATGCTATCCCAGGAATTAATTATTAAAGTTACAAAATACATCATATTTATGAAAAAATCGAGAATATATGTTGGGAGTATTTCCCACTTTATTAAGCACATTTCCTAATACTAAGCCTTGTGATTAAAACTCAATTAAACCATAAAGTAGTATATGATTTACAAATTTAGTACAGCAAGTCATCCTAATCCAGATTCATACGCAAAATCGGTTTTAAAATATGAGTAATAAAGAAACGTGCACAGTAAAAATAAACAAGACCCATTCCGATCATTTCAGAACAGAGGCAGGTATCAGGCAGAGATGCATAATCTCGCCAACTCTGTTTAATATCTACAGCCAACACATTATGGAAAGGTACTAGATGGATGGAAAGGCGGAATATCAGTAGGAGGTCAAAAAATCAATAACTTGATATATGCTGATGACACTTTAACAATCGCGGCAAATCAGGAAGAAATGGAAGACATAATGAGATGTTAAGGGAAAAGCAAAACATATGGACTAAAGCTAAATACGAGTAAGACAAAGATCGTGATAGTAGACAGAGCTCGGAATAATCTTCAACACATTAAAGAAATTGGGAGCTTTGAAGTAGTAAATACTTTCATATACCTGGGGTCCCTAATAACAAATTACGGAGGGTGTGACAGAGAAATACGTAGAAGGTTGACTATTGCTAGAACAGCTATGATGAAACTGATAGCAATTTGGAAAAATTCTAGCATAACAATACACACAAAACTAAGGCTGGCAAGGGCGCTCATTTTTCCCATAGCCACATATGCATCCGAAACATGGACCTTAAAGAAAGCGGATAAAAATAAACTGGACGCTTTTGAAATGTGGGTATACCGCCGCATGTTGAGAATATCCTGGATTGATCATCGCACTAACGTATTGATACTAGAACAACTTAAAGTAAAGGATATATTGCTTAAACAAATACAGTATTGTGCGAATTAATGGAATCACTGTGAATTTTTTTTTCATTTTTTCAATATTCACAGTTGGCAACACTACCTACACAGTTGACAGCTGACCAAGCATTGAAAACATAACCTTACTGTGTGTTGGTGTGTTTGAGTGTGTTTTAGGTAATTTCTTACCAAGCTTGTGTTGTTTTGGCGGTTTTGGTACTATTTTGTGTTGTTTTTGGTTTTATTCCAATATGGATATTACGCCTAGGAAGCGTGAAAAGATTGTCACGTTGAGTGAACACACTAGTATGTCACAAAGAGAGATTGCTAGAACGTGTGGAGTGAGTCAGGGGGTAGTAAGCAAAATTTTGAAGCGTAAACGAGAAACGGGATCAGTGGCTGTGAAAAGGTTAGGAAAATGTGGAAGAAAGAGAAAAACAACACCAGCAGATGATAGATTTTCACTTCGAAAGAGCAAATTGGACCCAAGAAAATCAAGCCAAGACCTACAACAAGATCTAGCAGCATCAGCTATAGTGATTCATGACTCAACTGTTCGTAGAAGACTTTAGAAGAATGGTAGAAGGGCAATTCGTCTAGAGAAAAAACAGCTTCTAACTGAACGAATGAAGAAACAAAGGCTACTGGGGGCCAAAAAATACTGTAATTGGACTGTAGGTGACTGGAAAAAAGTCATATTTACAGATGAAACCCACTTTATAGTTCAGGGACAGCGGTCGAAATTCGTCAGGAAGTCTGACAATGAAAAGCTGACACCATCTCATATTGATCAAACCGTAAAACATCCAGTCAAGAAAATGTTTTGGGGATGTTTTTCGTACATGGGGGTTGGATCTTTGGTGCCAATTGAAGGCATGATGAACAGCCAAAAATACAAATCCATGTTGGAAAAGTATTTGGACAAACAACTCCAAAAATGTCAACCCCAAGGAGGAGCGATTCTTCAACAGGACTCTGCTCCCTGTCACAAATCAAAGGAAATGATGGCATTTTTCAAAAATAAGAAGATTATTGTTTTAGATTGGCCCGGTAATTCGCCCGACCTCAACCCCATTGAAAATTTATGGGCCATTTGGAAAGCTAGACTGCGAAAAATCTACTGTACCACTAAAACAAAAATGATAGAAGCGGCCATTCAGGTTTGGTATCGAGATGAAAGGATATCTGACAACTGCCAGAAACTCATAGAATCTATGCCAAAACGGGTAAAAGCAGTAATTTCTGCCAAAGGGGGACATATTTCCTACTGAATGATGTAAGTTTACCTTTATAGTTTTGTCAAAATATAATTTTTTACTAAATAAACTGTTTTTTCATTAAAACAGCCTATGATTCCATTAATTCGCACAATACTGTACAACAGAGATATTTGCAGTATTTTGGACACATTGCTAGAAGAACAGGCACGATGGAAAAACTGATAGTCGAGGGTAGAGTTGAAGGAAAAAGACCTAGGGGAAGATCTCCAAGCAGTTGGATAGATCAAACAAAAACATTGATTAACCAAGGGTTACATGAAGCCGAACAACTAGCCCAGGACAGAGAAGGATGGAGGGAAATCCTAAAAAAACTGTGAGGGCCTGATGGTGTCACCACATCCCAAAAGGGATTAGGACTGAGGAGGAGAATAAAGAAACGACAAATGTAAATGGAAAATATATGGATATCTGAATGGAGGGTTAAATATTTTATTACAATTGCGTATGATATGATAGAATCAACTGCATATTAAAGGCGAAAAACTAGGAGACACCCTGAGTCGCTTCCTATTCAATTTGATTAGCTGCGTACTGGGAGCACTTTGATATTCAAAGTTACTGGGGAATTAAGTTTAACCACAAGTAGCCAGATGATGTCCGCAGGAGGTAATTTTATCTCCTCTGTTGTGGAATCTGATCCTGAATGGGTTGATTACCAGACTCATTTGGGTCATTTTGGGACGCATGATGTCCTGCGCTATGCGAAGGACCTGGTCATCAAAGCCAACGGCCAACGGCAAATTTAATGGCATAGTCAGAGATATAACGCAACAGGCTCTGATTGTAGTTGCAGAATGGATTTCAATTGTAGGGCTTAATATACGATCAAAATATGGTGAGCGAAGTAAATTATATTGGGATAATATTAGAGTGAATGCTTACTTGAAGTCAATAGATAACCACGAATAACCAAGACAGCGGTAACTACGTTAATGGTAGCCAGATGCACTCGTGGGAAAAAGTGGCGTTTAAAACCAGACATGTTGTATTGGATTTATCACATGGTGGTATGGTAAAACTAACAAAAGAAATTAACAGAGGAGATACTCGACGCAGACTGTAGAATTACAGAAGGGTCAGCTGCAGAAATATTCGATAGTGGTGGAAATTTGAACATTTCTATTCCATTATGAGAATTAACTTATCTTTGTTGTAATCTAAGTGAGAACTGGAAAATGAGCAAAAATTAAAATATGTATAGACAAGGCCAGAGCTGCATTTTTTTTAAGATGAAAAAGATCTTATGTGGAAACAATATTACTTTAAGAGACTAAAAATTATATTAGTAAGATGTTATGTGTTCTCTATTTTTTATATGGTATCGAAGGTTAGATTTTAACGAATATACTTCTAAGAAAACTTTGAAAAATTTGAAAAGTCTTTGAAATCTGGATGTATCAGAGAATTCTACGAATAAGTTGGGTAGATAAGAGTTCGTAACGCGGCTGTTTTGCAGCGGATGGCAAAAGTTACGAAAGTGGTCAGAACAGTTAAATGTGAAATACTTACCTAATTCCGATAAAGTAGCCATGCACACCCTAAGCATTCTATCTTTAGCTTCAGCACCTTCGTAAGCCAGAGAAACCAAACATCGCGCAAGAGACATATCAAAACTAGAAGCCGATATTATTAAAGTTTTTCTTATTAGCTTCATTGCCTCTATTCGTTCAACATCGTTTCTTAAAATTAAATCAAGTGACCTGAAAATAAATTATTTTTATCATTATCAATCATCAAAATTCAAGAATATCAACTTTGAAGTGTTTGAGTCTTCCTGTAATCCTTAATTCAAAATCAAGAATAGTCAGTTGATTAACACATTGCTATAACCGACGCTAGTTGAACTGAAATGACTGATCTGTTTAACAATAGACTTTAGAATAATCTATGTATAATATATAGCTTATACAGGTATATAGTTTTTTAGTTATTATTCATGGAATAACCTATATATAGTTTATACAGGTATATAGTTTTTAGTTACTATATTCGTGGGTTGTCCTAACAGTACCCATCTCAACAAAGAAAAAAAAAATTTGAAAAAAACTGTATTTATTTTTCAATTTAATCTTCTTTCACCTCTATACCCTTATCCTAGTGATGTTCAATAAGTTACACTTTTTACACAAGATACACTTTTTATAATAAGAACTGTCCTGCTTTCCAAAATAACCATTAACTACCGACACCACTTCTTCACGCTAGGAAAATCTTTGACCATTGAGCCACTTTTTCAAGTTTGCGAACAGAAAATAATCCGAGGTAGCAAAATCTGGTGAATAGATCTGATGAATAGATCAGATAGAATAGAATCTGATGAAACAATACTCTCTTCTTAGCCAAACGCGGCGGTTTTTGCTTGATTTCTTCGCTCATACGTGACATAGTACTCGCCGTTGATAGTTTTTCCTCTTGCAAGATAGTCAATGAAAATTACTCCACGCGCCTTCTTTGGAGCCCGTTCTCCCTTTTGAGTCCATTGATTTTATTGTTCTTTTGTCTTAAGTGTGAAGTAAATGGACCCGTAATTCAACCATGGTCATGAATTAACGCAAAAATACTCGTTTTTTAGCTGTAGAACTTTGCTAAACACTCAATTGAATCATCTTCACGGCACTGTTTTAGCTCGAGTGTGAGCAAACGCGGCACCCATCTTGCACACAGCGTTCTCATGTCAAAATTTCAGTCAATATGCGATGTACCGCACTTTTTGAAATGGCATTCGAAACAACGGCATTTTCATTTATAAAAATGATAACGAATCGTACTCTCGCTAATGAGGGCACGAAAATCCGTCGGTCCCCCTGGGTTACCTGAAACAGGGTTAAAGATGCAGTTGATGCCGAAACCTGTCCGTAAGGATCTTCCCGACAAAAATGCCATACGATATTATTATTATTATTATAGATTGTGTACTTTTTAATAAAGTGATATTTTTCACACAACTATCGCCATCTCTAGGTCAGGCCGTGTACTTCTTTTACTACTCAGATATCTACAGAAAGAAAAGCTACATATTTTCTGTAGAAGATTCCATGTTGTTTTCTGGTTATTAACGAATAAGTACAAACATACAATTTTTAGAAGTTTTACTTAACATTAAAAATGTGAGTACGTATTTGAATTCCAATTTTTTTTAATGCTGTATTCAAAAAGTTGTAATATTAATATTTTGCCTGAGAACTAAAATAAAGCAAACTCGTTAATTATTTGTAAGTCTTGTAAAACTCAATCTACACCTTTGATATTACTTCCAAAGATGGGTCTTGCGGTGCTCAAAAAACCTCAAAATTTACTATGGAATACATCAATTAGTTTCAACAGTTATTCAATTTATTTTTGGGAGAGATCTTTTTTTTTTCAATAAAATTAGTCAAGGACCAATGAAGATATTTAAATTCTAGGTACCATATGAAAAAAGAAGAGTTGTACCAGCAATATTACCAAAAAAGTAAAAAAAAACATTACAAACAGATGACTTTTGGCACGGATTTAAAAAAAAATTGGTTTACAACAATGTGGAGTCAATAGTTTTATTTTAATTTAAAGCTAATTTGTGTATTACAATTATTAAGAAACGTAATTAGCCCCGTTTTAAATGTAAAGAGTCAAAAGAATTTTGAAAAATATTGCACTTTAATGAGATCATCTAGCATTTTCAAAAATCGGGGAGGTTAAATTACAACGAATTTAACCTCCCAACCTAAAAACCAAAGTGTTCAAAAAATGAAAAAGCAACATATATGTAATTATGTAATTGAAGAAAATATGCAATTTATTAATAAATTTATAACAAATATTACTAAACAATTTTTGAATAAAAAAAACAATTTACCAAAAAGTCAATGTTTTTGTAAAATTAGCAATGATATTAATAATTAATAAGTGACGTGCTATATTTGGTACGTACTTTTAAATGGAGGAAAAGTGTGGACAATAAAAGTAACAAGCATGAACAGAATTGAAGTTAAACACCGGAAAATGTCTTAACTGGGACATATAGTGAGTAAAAACCGATAAAGAATACTACAACTGATCCTCAAGGCCAAAATAGAAGAGCGTAGATGTGTAGGAAGAAAACAGGTTTCCTAGTTAACAAAAATATTAGTGAATGGGCTCAGATATCAAATGTGGGACAATTATTCCATGTGGCAGTTAACAGAAGCCAATAAGGATCATTTCAAACCTCTACCAAGAACAAAAGGCTAAAATCAGAATAAAAAGCGAAACATCAACATCGAGAAGGGAGTAAGACAGGGATGTGTCCTATCACCTTTGCTGTTCAATGTTTACTCTGAGAAGATATTTCAGAAAGCTTTGGAAGGCACCTCGGATGGTATAATTATAAACGGGCAATGTATAAATAACCTGCGATATGCTGATGACACTGTCATACTGGCAGATAATGCTGAAGCCCTGCAACGCTTAATGGACCGAGTAATGACAGCCAGTAGAGAATTTGGAATGAAATTGAATGCAAAGAAGACAAAAACGATGGTCATCAGCAAACACCAAAACAGAAGGGTGAAGGTCAATGTCGACGAAACAGATCTGGAAAGAGTAACAAGAACAACGTACCTTGGAAGTAATCTTGATGAAACTTGGGACCACTCACTAGAGATACGCCTGGAACAACAGCACGTACAATGTTTTACAAAATGCAAAAAGTTCTATGCAACCGCCAGCTGGGCATCTCATTGAGAACTAGAATACTTAAGTGCTATGTTTTCTCCACCTTGCTCTATGGTGTTGAAGCCTGGACAATGACAGAAGCAACACAAAAAAGAAACCAAGCATTCGAACTCTGCTGTTACCGTAAAATGGTCAGAATATCCTACATGAGCCATACGCTAAATGCGGAAGTCTTGCAGAGGATGAATAATGAAAGAGAGCTTATGCTTATAATAAAAGAACAGAAAACATAATAGTTTGGTTACATCATAAGAAATCAAAAGTATGAACTTATAATCTTATATATCTATATATTAACTTATAATCCAACTTATAATCGAAGGCAAAGTCAATAGCAAAAGAGGACAAGGAAGAAGACGCAACTTTTGGCTTAAAAACCTACGGCAATGGACGAACATGACTTCCATAGAACTATTCAGGGCTGCTACAAATAAGATTAAATGGGCAAATGTAATGGCTAACTTCCTTAAGGATAAGGCACCGTGAGAAGAATGAAGACTATGTCGACAATACACCGTCGATCTATTGGTTAACATATGGAAGGATGTTCTCTGAAACAGAAGGTTCCTCACACGTAATTCACGATCTGATTACATCAGGAAACATATCGTCAAAGATCATCAGGTGTAAAACGACCAATGCCGATATGGATGTCAATGACAACTACAAGCTATACTGAGATCGCACTGTGCTCATAGACCAACCAGTGGCACTAGTGACATTTGATATGGCAACATAGTATTCGCAATAAATCCCACTTATAACCTATTACATCGCTCCACGTAGTTTGTTTTTCATTTATGGGCACACGAAGTACCAACCGTGCTTTTCGAAAGGTCCTAAGCATTAAATCAACTTATAAAAATATATTGTATATATGTAATTGTCATTAGGGTAAAAACATATACTTATCTTAATTACTATTTAAATAAGAATAAGCCACAATTAAGGTTAAAGTACGTTTATTGACGTTTCAATTTCCACTTCGGAAATTGAAATCACTAATGTTTGTATTTTGAAAACGATTTCCGCGGTGGAAATTATAAACGTACTTTTACCTTTAATTGTGGCTTATTCCCATTTAAATAGTAATTAATTTAAAATTCCACAAGAAAATAGCTTCAGAACAATGTACTCACCTTGTTAATAAATAAGGTATTAATAACTTATTTGACTGTACAATATCTGTTTCTGTTTTAAGGACATGTCGTATACATCTTAAACCGGCTGTTCGGATTTGGGCAGAGTTGTGAATGAGAGGAATCCTTAAACTGAAAATTAAAAAATATTTTAGACATTTGCAATTTTATATTACATCGACTACGCAAACTAAGCTGCATTAAGTACGTTAATAAACAATTTTCAATTAGAAAATAACAAAAAATCTAGTATAATAGAGGGTGTCCCAAAAATACGTCATAAATTACATAACTATTTCTGGGGATAAAATATGGCGATACTTCACCATATATAAAAGTGCACTCAAAATGTTCTTATTCTTCTTTTTATGTAGACATTACTCTGTCTGTTTTTCAATGTGCCTCTATTAAGTTGCCGTTTCATCGTTTCCGTGGTCTTCCTATTGGGAAACCGTTTCTTGCCGTCTTTCCTACTTTATTTGTTGTCATTCCGCTTATAAGATCGTTCCATTCTACTGTTCTAATTCTTACCCAGTCCTTAGTGTTTTACCATAAATGTTTCTAAGTGTTTTCATCTCTGCAGTTTCTAATATCCCTTTTGTCAGCTCTGTTTCTGCCGCATATGTCATTATTTTTCTGATTACTGTTTTTTAAATTATGCCTTTCGTTTCTTTCCCGATATTTCTATTTCCCCATATTGTTTCATTCAGGCAACCTGCGGCTCTGTTTACTCTATTCACTTGATCTTCCACTTCTGTTTCGAGTTTTCCGTAGCTAGATAATCTATCTATCTATCTAATCAGCCTTAAACGCCCACTCTTGGGTATAGGCCTCCCCTGTTAATCTCCATTGGTCTCTATTTTGGGCGATCTGCATCCAGTCCTTTCCTGCCGTTCTCTTAAGGTCGTCAGTCCATCTCATCTGTGGTCTTCCTCTTTTTCTTTTCTTTTCCCATGGTCTCCAGTGTAGAATTCGCTTATTCCATCTTTCATCTTTGTGCCGGAGAGTGTGACCGGCGAAGTTCCATTTAAGTTTTGCAACCTGTCTTGATACATCGTTCACCTTTGTTTTTTCTCTGATCCATGAGTTTCTTTTTCTGTCTTTAAGACCGATACCCAGCATCTGTCTTTCCATTGCTCTTTCTGTTTTGGATATCCTGTCGATGTTCTCCTTTGTGAAAGTCCATGTTTGTGAGCCATATGTGATACTGGTAAAACGCACTGATTGAATACTTTCGTTCGCATATATTGAGGGAACTTTTTATTTTTTAGAATATATGATAGTTTACCAAATGAGGCCCATGCTAGTCTAGTTCTTCTTTTTATTTCTTCTGTTTGATTGTCCCTGTTCAGCTTTATTATCTGTCCTAGGTATACGTACTCTGCCACCTGCTCTAATTTATTCTGTTTGACTATTTCTAATTGGTCTTCTTGGTTTGCCATAGTCTTGGTTTTACTATAGTTCATCTCTAGACCTACCTCTGTCGCTTTTCTATCTAGTTCCTCAACCATCTTCTGTAACTCTTGTTACAGAATTTTGTGGCTCCCATTCTAATTTTTTAAATATGTCTTCCATAGCCTGATTGAACAATTTTGGTGATATTGTGTCTCCCTGCCTGATTCCTCTTTCGAATTTTATTGGTTCTGTAGCGTGTTCGTTCGTCAATTTTATTGTGGTACTTGCATTTTTGTATATGTTTGTTATTAGGTCCGTGTACTTGTAATCAATTCTGCCGTTCTGTGGTCGCTAGTACTAAAACCCTTTCTGAATCCCGCTTATTCTCTTGCTTGGTATTCGTCAAGCTTAGTTGTTAGTCTATTTGTCACGATCTTCGTTAGTAGTTTAAATACAACACTTAGTAATGTTATAGATCTGTAGTTTTCTAAGTTCTTTCGGTCACCTTTTTTGGACATTAATAGTGTCTCCTCATCGTTCCAGCTATCGGGTATTTCTTTTGTGGTCAATATTTTGTTCATGAGGATATGTAGGACTTCTCTAGTTGTTTTCCCCTCCTCTTTTCAGTATCACTGCAGTTATTCCATCTTTTCCAGGTGACTTATGGTTTTTTAATTCTTGAATTGCTTTCTTGATTTCTGTTTTACTTATTTCTGGTTGTAGGTCAGAGTTTATATTCTTTATTTTTTGTGTTTAATTGTTTAAGAATTTCTTGCTGTGGTTTATGTCTTGTTCTGTATAGGTGCGTACAGTATTCTTGTGTCAACTTTATTATTTGTTTCATATCATTAATGGTTGTTCCTTCGCTGTTTGTCATTTCATTTATCTGAGTTTTACCGAGTCGTTGTTTTAAGCATTTCATATTTTTGTTCTGCTGGATTACCCTTTTAATATTTGCTTCCTGCGTTTTTCTCTTGGTTTCTTTTATGTTTTTTCTAATTGTTTTATTGATTTCAGTATATTCTACTGTGTTTCTTTTGCCCTATTCAAGTAGGCTTCTTCTTGTCTTCATCAATTTTTTTTATTATGATGCTAGACAATATGATGGCTAAATATATAAACTCATCACTTGTTCTATTATCTTGAACGCATTTTGTCTTTTTTGGAGAAATTAACATGTTAAATTTTCTGGCGGTTATATTAAATTGGTGCTGCATGCGTTGTAAATTATCTTCACTTTGAGAGAGTAGAATTGCGTCGTCTGCATAGCAGATTATTTTAAAACTTGTTTTTCTCCCATTTGGTATCCTTTGTTAGTTCTTACTTTTTTTATTATTTCTACCATAATAACGTTGAACAATAGAGGACTCAGGGTATCTCCCTATATTATCCCATTGCCAGCTTTCGATCTATTTGGTTATTCCTAGAGGTATCTCTCTTGCGTACAATAAGTGGATAACGTCCTTTATTTGTAACGACCTTGTTGTTCTTCTGCCAGTGTTATAATTTCATTCAGTTTAATATTTGTTATCACTTTGGTTGTTAATTTAAGTGTTAATAAATTAATTCCTCTGTAATTTTCTGGGTCCGATATGTCTCCATTGTTGGAGAGAGATATTAGGATGCTTGATCTTCATTTTTGAGGAATTCTGTTTAGTTCTATTATTTTTTGGATTAGTTTTAATACTTGTTTGTTGAGATCTGGTCCTCCGTACTTTAGGAGTTTGTTCAGTAATCTGTCCTTTTCTGGTGATTTTCTATGTTTTAATTTCTTTAATGCTTTCTTTACCTCTTCCTCCTCAATATTTATTTCTTCGTTTGTAGTCACCTCTGGTGCTAGTGGTTCATTATCGTCACATTTAGCAAATAGGGATCGAAAGTAGTCTGCCCATGTTTCCTTGTTCCGTAGAAGTTGTGTTCCATCTGTTTTGAGAGGGGCTATCAGTGTTCCCTTTTTATTTGTCTAACTAAAGTATTCGTTTCATTTCTGATTCGTTTATAGTGGTTGTATGCCTGTTGTGTTTATGTGTTCTGTATTGTAAAAAGGCTTTCTACTTTTCTTCACATTTTGCCTTCACTTCCTCTCTAAATCATGGGGTTTTCTTTTTTTATATGTTAGTGTTCGTTACTTTCCTCTCTCCAAGTGATTCTGTTGCTGTAACTCAAAAAATTAGAAGAGGTAAAGTTATAAATCAAACTTAATTTTAGTGCTTCTCTAACATTTTTCCATCATAATTGATCTGGTGTGTTTACAACTTTTTGTACGATATAACTGAATTAAAGATGGAGAGCCAAGTATCAAGGAACCAAGAGGTCCATAGCTTATTTGTTAACCTAACAAAAGCATACGATACAGTACCAGTTAAAAAAACAAGCCACATCAAAAATTAAAGTAAAAAATACCCTATCGGAAGAATTCCTTCTAACTGAAGAATTGCAGCAGGGATGTCGTCTTTCTTCGGTTCGGTTTAAAATATATCTAAACGAAGAAGGTGGAGAAAATCCTGCTATGGAATGGGCGTACGTTTTAAAACAAAAACAACGTAAGCTAATTACATGAATTATGCTAAGTAGCTTGGATGCATGGGTGTGCTCTAAATATATATGTGTCAACCAACTGGTGACACACTTAGATAATTTCTTGAACTGATATGTAAGTACCTTTATACGTTTGTATTACACATGTATAAACAATCTTGCAATATATACACCAGTTAACATAAGACCGAAGCTGGTTCTTTGAAACACACTTCATACTGTATAGACTTCATACCATTTTTAGACGTTCATACTACACTTTAGTGTCGATACTGTATATATATATATATATATATATATATATATATATATATATATATATATATTTTATAACTCGTTATTATTTTTGTTTAGTTTTGTTTTGTTGTCTTGTTTGTTGTTTTATGTTTAGTTGTGTTATATGTTTTAGTTTGTTGACATTAAGCTTTATTTTATAACTCGTTATACAAACTCTATTTATATATATATATATATATATATATATATATATATATATATATATATATATATATATATAAAGAAAAAAGAAGTACTTGTGACTCGTTTGGAAAAAATATAAAACTGTTTTGGATGGGTTGGAGTCAATAAAAAGGGCTATTTGTTGACTATTTTTTACTCGAGCTTTCAATTGTGATTACAATTATTATTAAGAGCTTCTAAAAAATACAAAATATCTTACAAAGTTGAACTAGAAACAAAAAAATTTTATTTAGAAATAAAATCTTTTTATAGAATACCTCTATGTAGATTTAAATAAATATTGTATATTAACATTATTTTCAATTATTGCTTAAAATATTATACCTAAAGACTCGTATGCCGGAGATACGCTCGACCGTTCTAGTTACTTTGGTGGCGCGCCTATCGGAAGGTTAAATCACGAGACGTGATTAAAACTTGGACATTTACTCAAAAATATGTAAACCGCATGGACATCTTTGAGACAAAGACGTCCATGCTATGTCCATGCATGAAGAATACTAGGCCCTATAAATAAGAACAAAAGGTGAATATAATCTCAGTACGTACGCCTACAACGTCTTTAATCGACAGGTCATGTATTTAAGATGGAATAAAACTGGCAAACTGTTAAATGCAAGAATGCAGGGGAAGAGACCTATTGGAATACCGAGAAAGCGATGAGAGAATGATGTGGATGAGGCCGCAAGAAATCTTCCTTGGCAGTCGGTCGTGGAGGAGAGTGGCTACAGATCGTAATGAATGGAGAGGTCTGCTGAGGGAGGCCATGGCTAGAATTGAGAAAATTGTAGAGTCATAGGATAGATAATACAATGCAGAAGTATCTTACAACGGAACTTACTTTTAAACAAATGTAATTGAACAACAAAATCTTTTAACATAATCATATCCGCCCCTAAAACACAATGCTTGGCTCTCCGAACACCAAACAAAGCTCTGAGATGCAAGCTTGAAGTAGATAAAGTAATTATCAATAAAAGAATCGCAACATCGCAAAAAAATTATAGTTTTTTTTTATACAGATAATTGAGCCAAAGCAAAAATAGCAGCATATCTGAACAATAACAATTCAAACAAAAATATTAGCATCAAACCAAGAATCAGCTATAAAACCTGTCATGACATAATGCAGAAACTAGACTGGAAATATCAAAAATAAAAAAAAAACACTACGGGAAACAATATAAATGAAGATATTTCATAGAAGAATCGAAAAAATATGGTCGGCGAAATAAGATCCAAGACATCAATAGCTGAATATTACAAAAAGAGGGATTGGGCATCAGATAATTGGACTAAAATAAAACAGGAAGAATAATTCGGACTCTTAATATACTAAATTTTTAATAGTGTTTAACACTTTGACTGCCATGAGAAGCATGCCTTGATGCACGGCCAATTTGATTCTGTTGCCGCGAGAATCAGCTTTTGATTCTCGCTTGTATGTTATTTATATGGGATAGAAATATGTCCGGCTGGTAGAACCCTCTTTTTTTCACTATGGCGGCAGTCTAAGTGTTAAAGTTTAGTAAAGGACTTTGGTATAATCGTAAACTGTGTTTAGCAATGCGATATGTAACTAAAAACTATACGAATTCTACACTTGCAACATTTCAGAGTGGACTAAGTAGTCATGTTACAAAAATGGATAAATTAAAATATATTAAAATAATCTCCAACATCCATAACTGAGAACTTTGAGGTCATTCTTTTAAACCCCTAAATCTTTTCAGTTATCGAGTTATGAAGAAAAACTTTTAGTAATATTCGCATAAAAAGACCGTTACCTTGGTTTTGTTTTTATATTATATTTTTTTAATTGCATTGTTCCTGTTTTGATTTATATTAAATTATTTATTACGTAGCCATTAGTATTTCATTACCACTGTTAACTCATATGACGCTTATGAGTTTGTTTTTAGCTAGCATGATCCAAAATAAAAAACAATAAACAATTTCACTAGAATACAATGACTAGTAAACATGAAAACAAGTACACAGAGTTATTGCGTTGTTAAGGAAATAAAAACAAGTCTGATGTAATTAAACCAATATCGAAGACAAGTAAATAGAAATATATAATTTATAACAAATAAAATAAAAATAAGTTTTTTCTTACAAAATGCTTTTTACGTCATTGATCAATTTTATTATTCACATTTATTTTCAATATTTTAAAACGTTGCTCTATTATCTGAATGCCGTTGAGAAATTTTTAAACTGAAGAAAATGTAACGTAGATTGAGGTACTTATATAGTAAAGCACAAAAGAAATAAAAAATAAGTATTTATTAAACAAGAGAAAATTATTCTTAAATGTAACATTTATTTGGAGAAAATGATTAATATAATAGACCTGGGCGGATCTTTCAAGATACGATTACATTCGGATTTTTGTAGAAATAGTTAGGTGATAACTTCAGTAATAATAATTTGTTCGTATTTTGAGAACGATTTCTGAAGTGGAGATTGAAACGTCAATAAATTTATTTTAATCTTCAATTGTAGCTAATTTCCTTTTTTATAACTTAAAATCGATTCATTTAGGAGCAAAGTCGCCATGACAAAAAGAGCGATACCTAATTGAATTTTCTATAAGATAAAATGCAGGGAAATATACAAGGAAAAAGAAGCATAGGGAGGCGTAGAATGTCATGGCTGCGCAACGAATGTTGGCAACGCTGCTGGAGAAAAAATAGGGGTGACGCGGATTGCGAAGTAAACGTTGTGAATCTAGAGAGTGAGGTGGGGAGTTTAGTTATCATTCATTTATCATGGACATAGCATAAGGAACAAATAGCAGTGACACTTGCCTAGGCGGGAAAAGTTCACGCATCTTTATTGCGCAGATTGTCGACAATTTTGGGAGTTAGAGTTAAGACTAAGACCAAAGAATATAAAAGCATATATAAGAACAGTTCAAATGGGGATTTGGTTACGGTTTTTATACTTCAAAACAATCCTTAAGGGGGAGACTGCATAAACATCATGAAAGATATAGTTAGGGGAATTGGAAAATTGCGGCTTATTTCCATTTAAATAGTAATTGCTTTATTTTTGTTATAAATAAATTAATTTATTTATAACAAAATAAAACTATACATCTTTTCCTTGATGCAGACTTTTGTTTAGAAAAACTTACCAAACGGCTTTTTTTAACGACCTAAATACAAATATTCTCATTTGAAAGCTGTATAATTACTTATTTAAATAATCTTTGTTTAAATTATTTATATATATTTTTTTATTTTTCTATGATGCATTATAAAAAAACTTTCCAACAATATAATTTTGTTAGTATATTGAATTTATAGAATTGAATTAAAAATTATTATTTATTTCATATAGAAAGTATTTTTTATTTTCAATTTTCGGATAATCAGCAAAGCAATATTATTAATCTCGAAAAAAAAAAAAAATACTGACACTGCTATTAAATTTGATAACATTTATTTATATGATGAAAAGTTTTTCGAGTAATTTTTAACCTCAAGCTGAAGATTTTGATGAAGTAATCCAGTGCACATCGCAAGACAGCCTAGACGAATAATTAAGATTCTTTCTATATAAAATAAATAATAATTTTTAATTTAATTCTAGAGATTAAATATAATAACATAAAATTATATTGTTGTGACGTTCATTTTTATTAAAGTATCATAAAAAATTTAATAAGTTAAAAAAAGATACTTTTTTTAATACACAAGTACTTATTTTAGCTAGTGGCTAGTGGCAGGAAGGCAGGCTATTGTTTCCGAATTACAATTACAACCCAGACACTGTAGGAATCGAATAATTTTTTCTCGACAACGTCAACACTGGGATATACAGGATTCGAGCTGATTCTCTTTACTGATGAAACTTGGTTCTGTTTGAAGTCTGGCGATGGCCCAGAAAGGGTTTATAAAGGGAAAAATGAAAGATATGTCCAAGCTTGTATGTCCCAGAGAAAAAAGCTTGGCGGTGGTGGTGTCATGGTTTGGGCTGAAATCTCACTTGAAGCTCAAACTAAACTTATTTTTATCAATGGCCCCCTGAATGCTCACTGGTATATAGAGGATGTTTTGGCAGAAGCAGTAGTTTCATTTGGTTCTTTTATTTGGGACAATTTCCTGGCAAGCAAAATTCTTTTCCAGACAAGAATCCTGACATATTACTTGAGGAAAGTTGGAATTAAGACTCTAGAACGGCCTGCCTGCAGCCCCGATCTGAATGTCATCGAATATCTTTGGGATAAACTTCATCGTACGGTTATTAGTCAACCAGGTCAGCCAGAAAGTTTTGCAGAACTTCAAAACATGCTTCGTGAAGAATATGGACGTATTCCTTAAGTTTTTATTCAATTTTTTTCCTTTCCCTTCCAAATCGTATGCAAACGATTATTGATATTTTGGGGCATAATACCCGATATTAGACAATTTTGTTTAAGTTCACTCGTAATTTTTATTGTTTGTAATTTATTTCAATATCACACTATTTTCTTGTAGCCTTCTAATTAAATAAATTATGCTAAGAAATCAAACAGTAAAGGCCATTTTTTGTTTTAAAAATAAAAGATGTTGAGAATACAATATGAAACAGTGCATAAAACTTCTAATGAATTTTTATTCTCGAAAATTTATAGGGTGGTCACTTTTTTTGCCGGTCAGTGTAGATGGAGTTCATTTTATATGTAAAAAATTGGCAAAATCTATTAAATCGATTTTAAAAACTTTAAATTCTAAATTTGGTGGACTATTTTATTATAGTATTAGGATTTTTTAGGCGAGTTATGAAGATGCTAAAAACATTCTAGGTGGTTGAAAAACATTGAATAAGAAAAGGCTTGTTTCCCTACTTTTTATATTTATTGCTATTTTGTAGCAAGAGTAATACATTTAAATATTTTTAACCAGCCATATCTAATAGAAAATTAAATTGTCGCTATTTTATTTTAGTACGACTTTGCTCCAAAATGGATCGTTTTAAAGTTATAAACAAAGACAGAAAAAAAACGATGTTTGTAGTAATTTTCAAATAGTTTGATTTTTTTTATTAATATTCCCGACCTATTTGAGGGGAAAGATAAGTCAATTATTATTACTGGTGTTATCACACAAATTTTTCTACAAAAATTAGAATGTCACCTTTTACATCCACCTCAAAACAGATCCGACGGGTCTACAATTCTCTTTTTGTTAACTATCGCTTTGATATATTTATGAAATAAACTATAGTTTTGTTTTATGTATTTTATTTCATACATAAAGATAATTCTAGATACCTTACTAAGAATATAAATCTTTGAATTGTGACAAATTAAAAGATCACCTATTAAAGTATGAAATAAATATTAACAATATCACTTACCAGATCAATATTTCTTCAACGCTGTACTCAAAGTCGTCTCCACATTTTAACGTTAACTTCACAAATGCATTTAGGTAGCTGAAGAGTATCTCTTCTTTGACGTTCTGATCGCATATTTTCTCCAAAAGCTTTGCGCAGCTTCCTTGAGGTCCTGAAATAAGCAAATTATTTATTTAAATCGATACAATAAAGTATCGAAGGGCCCGACAGAATTTTTGCGTCTCTAACGTCTAACGATTTGGTTGCGAATTACTCTATTTTACCATAATTTCAAATCATTATAATAAATACAATAAGTTCCAAGTACAAGTTAAATAGTAATGGAGAGAGAATGCAACCTTGCCGTACCTCTCTTTTAATTTTGATGTTCTCTGATTGGGTGTTATCTATTTTTATCTGCGCTGTCTGTTTATAATATAAGTAATATATTAATCTTTATATTGATTGTTTATTTGCTTTTGTTTCAAAATTGTAATGAGTTACTCATGCATCACTCTGTCAAACGAGTTTTTGTAACATATAAAGCAGACATACACATATTTATTAACGTCCAAACAGCGTTGTGTTAATACGTTCAAACAGAATAAAGCATTTTTAGTTCCCACTCCATTGGAAAATCCAAACTGTGTGTTACTTATGCTAGGATCGAATTTTTTGTAAATACGGTTGTGGATACTTTTTAAAAATAATTTCAGTGTATGGTTCATTAAAATTATTGTTCTATGATGTTTACATTATTTAATGTTGTTTTTCTTGAGGATTGCAATGAAAGTAGAAGTCAGCCAATCATCCAATATTTCTCCTGTTTCATTTCATTTCTCTAATACCTTTTTTTTTAATTCTTAGCATATTTTGTTTTGTCTACAATTTTAATGACCCTTCTGTTCTTCATTAACTTAAGTATTTCATCGGTCATCCACTTTGTTTTATGTTTCTGGCACTTTTTATTTAATTTATCTTTACTTATTTATAATAGTGTGTCGTAAGTTCTTCCATTGGATTAAGAAAAAAGTTACTAGAATATAATACAGTGCTAATCAAAAGTCCGTTCCCCCCCTCGTATATTTTGAACGGTTATTGTTATAATAATAAAATTAGGGAGGTAACATACGTAGGCTTCTCAACTAGTCATAACAGGTGACGTAATAGTGACAAATGACGTTGCAGCGCCACTGTGACAGATAATTTTAAATGGGACCTTATGGCAAGTGATACCTCGATTGAAAGGTATTGAAAATACCTATTCGGTCTTAATAATTTTGTTTGAGTTTAAGCTCATTTTGAGGAATAAATTAAATAAATACTAAAATTGTAGCTTCTCATTTAATCAATAAATATATAAACAGCCAGTTCTTATAATAAGTACTTCCATACAGTAGTGCATCCTATTTTTAAACTCTTGCCATACTCGTTCAAATGTGTCGGGGGAAATTGCCCTACATTCTTCAACAATTCGTTCTTTCAAAATTTCAATATTGTCGGCGTAAACTTTAGATTTTTACTATCCCACAGAAAAAAATCTAATGGTGTGAAATCCGGTCACCTCAGCTGGCCATTCTATCCTACCTCGTCGTCCAATCCATCTACTACGATATTCCTCATCTACGTAACGTCTTACTACACCACAATGGTGTGCAGAAGCACCGTCTTGTTGAAACGTTATTTCCAAGCTGCCGAATTCGTCTGGATTATCCTTCAGAATTTCGAATATTAAAGGTTCAATTCCATTTTGTAACATCTCTAGATACACTTTACCGTTTAAATTAGTATTGAGAAAAATCGGCCAACTATGTGGTTTCCCAAAATATCTGCCCAAACATTTTTTTTTTGGAAATTGAGTATGTGTTTCACGAAAGACGTGAGGATTTGTGTCAGTCCAATACCTCACACTGTGTGTATTATTATTTCCATTGAGAGAAAAAGTACTTTCGTCAGTAAAATAAATTGTTTTTATGTAATCGGGCTGTTGGTTAATTTTATTGGACACATTTTCACAGAATTCTAGTCTTCGCCGGGGACGTTGACGTAAAAACAATTAAATAATTGAAAAACGTTAACTTTTTTGACAATTAACCAGAGGCGAATATTAGAACTTATTAATTAAATGCAAAACTAAAATTTTAGTATTTATTTAATTTATTCATCAAAATGAGCTTAAACTCAAATAAAATTAGTATGATTGAATAGGTATTTTCAATACCTTTCAAACGAGTTATCACTTGCCATGCATTATGGCATTATATCACTTTTTAAAATTATCTGCAGCATTGGTGCTGTAACGTCATCTGTCACTATTACGTCACTTGTTATGACTAATTAAGAAGTCTAGTCTGTTTATTACCTCCCTCCAAATTTCACTATTATAGGTATAACGGTTCAAAAGGTACGAGGGGGAAACAGACTTTTGACTAGCACTGTCTAGATATACACCAATACAAGTAGAAAACTATATTTTTTTTATATTAATAATGGTTTAAGACAGGGAGACGCGCTAGCGTGCCTCTTAACCTTGGAATAAGCAGTCAGACAGATAAATATTAGATTAAACAGAACCATCTTCAATAGATCGAGAAAAATTCTTGCATTTCTTATTATTAATATTTAGTAAAATATTTTGGTGTTAAAATCTAAAAAACAACAGCAAAACATGAAAAAACTGAATTTTGCTGAGAATGTCAATTTTGGCACCCATATTTTTGCACAAAATTTGCCAATCCTACCTCGGGATTCCCCTAAAAACTTTCCCTCGTATGCAGGTGGTATTATAAACCAACAATGGTTTACTAAGAATCTATATACCATAGAAAAAATATTTCAAACAAGAAATGTAGCTAAGATCATTTTAAACAAAAATGTTTATTACCACTTTTTCTGTAGAATAAGCCATTCTCTCAGAAACAACGCTTGAAGAGACCGCCGATTTTGAATGTGATACGAGCGCGAAATCAATTTTTTAAATAAAATTTGTATTAACTCGACAGTAAAAGTTCGATATCTTTTATCAGAGTGTCCTATCGGCAAAAATGAAAATGTATTTTAAAGGTGAAGACTGAAGCTTTCGTATGCAATTTTTGCTTTTTGAAGCAAATGAAGTCAGTTTCTATAAAGCTGTCAAATAAATAAATGTTGCGCGATTTTTGTCATTTTTTAAGATTCTAATGAGATTAATAAAATTTATCACTTCCATTGACCAGTCACTATAGAATGTCCATTGTTAGAGCCCAATCTTCAAAACCTGTAGCACGAAAATGTTGATTTTGTGTTTTAACAACAAATATAAGACATTTGAAATATCGCTAAAAACGCTGAATTAAACTCACATTACAAACGATCTAAAATGTTTGAAAATTTCGTCTTCGTGGAAGCATTTCCCGTGACATGGAATCATTTGTATTGTGAAAGTTTAAATTCAGCGTTTTTAGGCAATGTCTCATATTTTTTGCCAAAACTCAAAATCAAAATTTCATGTTATAGTTTTTAAAGATTAAGCATTCAAAATGCAAATTCCACAGCGACCGGTCAATGGAAGTGATAAATTTTATTATTCTCATAAGAATTTAATTAAAGCTGCACTCTTCAACTTTAAGACACATTTTGATTTTTGTGGTTAGGACACTTCAATCAAAAGATATCGAATTTTTACTGTCGAGTTGATACAAATTTTAGTTAAAAGATTTCTAGTGTGTGGCATTAAAAATCACTGGTGGCTTCAAGTGTTATTTCTGAGAGAATAATTCATTCTACAGAAAAAGTACTAAGAAACATTTTTATTCAAAATTATCTCGGCTGCATTTCCTGTTTTTTTTTTTTTTTCTATGGCATATAGATTCTTGGTAAATTGATGCTTTTTGTTCCCACCCCCCTACGAGGGGGAAGCCCGCGGTAGTAGTGACAAGTTTTTTTCCATTTTTTTTTTGAAGTGCCAAAATTGAAATTCTTAGCAAAATTCAGCTTGTTTATCTCATTTTTAGATATCAAATCTCTGATGACAGGACTATTAAGCTTTTTCAAAAATGCTTAATAGGAGCACTACAAAGACTACATTGTTTATACACATACATTTAGTCCTTTTGTTAAGTGTGAGAATAATTTGCTCAGCTTTCATTAAAAAAGAATAATCATGAATAATGGGAGTGTAGATTCATTAATTTTCACGAAAAACTTTCCATTTGTAAATAATAATTCATGAACAATTATTAAATTAAAAAAAAACGGGTGTGGCAGTCCAGTGGGACTGCCGGTAGAGGTTATATTTCTATACACGCGTTCGCAGTTACAAATATATATGGGAGTTAATATGCACAATCATTACATATGCAATGCTATAGGTAAGAGAGAGCAGAAAGAGAACAGAATTAGGTATATAGGTATATGGTGCATCGTTTGCTGTATATAAACAACATTTGGCCTGTAATAGGAGTATAGTAAATGAAGAATTGAATCAATATTTTGATGAAAATGTATATTTTTATTTTCATATATGTATAAAAGGAATTGACGGCAAAAAAAAATTTTTTCTCATACTCTGCAGTAAAATTCATTCATTATTTTGTTATTAATATAAGAATACAATACAATACACTGCAACATAATTCAATATAATAATACAATATATATTAAAATGCAATATTCCATAAGTATTTAAAAATGACAATATGCATAACTTACTTACGCATATGTTTAATTTACTATGATAATAATATTAATAAATATTAAATATACTTTTACAAAAAGAACACTCCTCTACAAATTTCTAATGTCGAACGTGAGTATAGGAGTATAACTTCAAAAAACGAAATATGTCCCACCCAAACAACCCTTTTCTGAACCTTAAAACTTGAATTACTAAATTTTTATGTAACTGAACTAAGCCTCAGTTTTATTAATAGCGTCTTGGCGCCATTTTGTAAGATACTTTCAAATGAATATATTATTTGAAAGCACTTGCATAAATCATTAGGTCCCTGGATTTTTTTGATTCTTTGTGGCACCATTTCAAAATCCCCACTAAATTGTGAAAATCTTATTAAATTAACTCTTGGTAAAAGAATAACTCTTTCTGACCAGAAGGATAATGTCACTAGTATCATATATTATATATGCCAAAAATCATAATTAAAACATAAAATTGACTTTTTTGAAATTTATGTCGCATACATATTGTTACGAACATGCATTCAGCGTGGCCCGCCTAACGGTTGTATCTCGAAGCATCTCGGGCATCGAGAACCATCGATAGATCCCTCGACCGCAATTAGAATTAAGAGGTGGGAACTTTCTAGAACATAGTAACTTTGGTATATATATGTATCGAAATTAGGAGTTAAGTTTAGTTGATAAGAGAGTACCGAACTGTAAAGTTATAAATAAATATAGTTATATAAATTCGAACCGCTTGTTTTATTTAAAAACGGTACAATATAAACATTATATATATATATATATATATATATATATATATATATATATATATATATATATATATATATATATATATATATAAAAGAAATTTAAAATATCAATCATTATATTTGTCCCTTTCATCTCTACGCCCATGGCTACTATATGTACTAAATATTCAATGATAAATAAAATAAATGATAAAATCATACAAGGTGGATAGCAAAGATTTCGGATTGGAGCCCAATAGGAAGGAAGAAAAGAGGTAGACCCCGAAGATCATGGAGGGATGAAGTGGACGAGGCCATGGAAAGACGAGACCTTGGAGATGGAGAATGGCAGAACAAAAAGGACTGGAGACGTTGGCTGAAAGAAGGAAGGCAGCGACAGCTGTAAAAATGCTTATATAGATAGATAGAAATAAAATAGTTTTGGAAAATTAAATAATGTATAAAATTGGCGAAACAATATTAAAAAATATAATATAATTTCTCCATTCTTTGATTTTTAAAACCAAAGTGACAAAAATCAGAACATAATAATTAAAAATATATATTTTCTCATTGGGATCGAACTCGCTACTTCTGGTTCTATATATTGCACCTCAATTCATTCGACCAGTAACCTTAAGTAGTAAGGTGGCTAACCAATGTCATTATTTATCAAGAACATTATTTAAGATGTCAGTTTTTTAGTTGTATTTTGTATTTGTTTTTATTTATTTATTGTAATTCAAAAATGGAAAGGTTATTACAAATCATAGAAGTTCCAGGAAGTATATTTATTTGTAAAAGACTTTGGCCAAATGTATATATCTACCAAATTAATATAAAATAATAATATTAATAAATATTAAATATATTTACAAAAGGAACATTTTTATTCTCAAGGGAGAAAGAGAGAGAAAATATATCTTCTGTCTCTCTTACCCATATCTTAAATATGTAATAGTGTTGCTAAAGCACTCCCTTACAAATTTCCAATGTAAAACGCATGTATAGGAGTATAACTTCAAAAAAACAATTTAAACTTTATTTTAAATAAATTCAGTTTTATTTTGTTAATGACTAAAAATAATTTAAATGGGAATCATTTATTTTAAGTTACAATTACGTAACATTGCATATGAGCAAGTTTCTTCCAGATGGTCAAAATAGTTGAGACTCATATCAGTGAACTGAATATAAGAATATTTTCTATAATGAAAATATAGTGCATAACTGAATATAGAATATGCACTGATATAGTTGGTTTACTCAGCTTGAGAAGACATAATCATTGTGGGAAACATAAAACACAAAAATTCCTACCACACCTAATTAATAGCTGAAATAATATTACTGTTGTAGACTTGTTTACTTGAAAAAAAAAAAGAAGAATAATCATGAATTATTGAACTGTATATTCATTAATTTTGATCAAAAACTTTTTATTTGTAAATACTTTATTTGTAAAAATAATTTAAAAAATTAAAAAAACAACATTTAGTGTTTTGTTGTAATTGATGCAGTTTTATTTTATTGATAAACTGAATGTGAATAATTGTTTACTTTAAGGTACAATTAATATTGGCTATGAATAACTTCCAGCCACTTCCAGTTGAAGTCAAAATTAGTCCAATGTAGCAATAAATGAACTACTAAATTAACAGTTGGGACTGGGATCAATGAATCTAGTATATTAACAAATATAAAAGAAAATATTAGCAGTTACAAGGAGAAACATCTAATCATTAGTGGATGTTAAAGTATTGCTAAATATGAAGAATCAAAATCACCTACAATAATTTAAATAAATAGTTTTATAAAGCAGAAATAAACAACAAAATATGTAATACACCTATACAGTGCTTACAAGAGATAATAAACAAAACTTTATGAAAGCATAAAAAAACAACAAAAATTAACTCAGTAATAGTAGGAGATTAATAAATAAATCAGTATATCAATCAGTATAAAATAGTAGGAAATTAATAAATATTTTATTAAAGATAATGAAATTTTTTGCTTCACCCTAATTATAAGAGAAATTAAAATACTACAAGATTATTTAGAACAAGTTTGAAACAATAACTATATTCAGTAACAATGTTATTTATTTATTTACAAATGCACCAAAGTTAGAAAAAAAGTACTGTGTTTCTCTTTAATAAATAAAACTTAAATAAAGAACTGTAATTGTATTGTATTGTTTGTTTTTATATATCTGTTCAAAATAAGTTTTAATTATAACATGACCTTGTTTACAAGATCTAATTTTCTAAAATTCTAACAGAGAAACCTATAAATTTCGTAAGAATCTAGTAAAATCCCACATAAAATTTTAAAAGTTACTTCCTCATTCCAGAGCTGAGGGTTCCTACTATTTTTGTATTTGCAAAAATGGTTACAAGATTAATTAGGAAGTGAGTAATATGTACTTACCTAAACTTTGCAACTGTGCCAGCACATCTTCCTGTTTGTTATGCCTTGCTATAATTCAAACCAAATTAAAAAATGTTGTTACTTTTTTTTAGAATGAACTTACTTGACCTATTGTATCTGTTCTGATGCCTGAGCATCCAACTGCTCACAGCCATATCGAATAATTTAAGTTGTTTACTACCCTAAATTAATAAAAATATACTTGTTCATTAATTGTAGGAACATTTTCTCAAACACCACATCACTACTTTGTAGTTATTTACAACACTATTGGAGGTTATGTCCCTTGAAACTCCATAAACATTTTTGAGGAAATGGATATTCGCATCGCATAACCAAAATTACTTTTCGTGGAGGTTATGTCATTTTGGTTGTCATTATTAAAACGTCATTGTTAAGGCAAATTTAAGTGAAAGTTGATTTCAAATTTTAAATAATCTTGACATTTTGACAGTTTTAAGCGAGATTTTATTATTGATTACTCTAAAATATTAGGTACTGAATTATAATAATATTAAATAATTATATACTCATATACATAGTGAATAACATTAAAATGTGAATAACAAAGTAAAAATATATCGGTAAAGATGTTTAATTAAATTTAATAACTTAAGAATATAAAAGCTTAAAAAATTAAAGTTAATTTAAATTATAATAAATTAAATTTAAATTAATTAAACTTCTTTCAAAAACTTAAAAAGAATGTTGAACATTAATTAATATTATATCGCATGCTCTTTCAGGATTTATTTGTGATATGGCAACACTGCCAAATACAGATCTGTCACCTGTCACTAATCTTCTGTTAGTTCCGGCACTTGTTCTATAGGTCTGCCTAAATACATTATAATAATTATAATATAATATAATGTAATAAATAATGGAAAATAAAATCTAGTAATATATCCGTATTGACCCTAAACCCAAGAAACATAATTTTATATAAATAAATTTTATATTTAAAAAACTAATATCATTGATTATGATTGACGAAAGCACAGAATAATAAACAATCAAAATGCCCACGTCCCTTGAAAAAATAAGTATGCGCATCTCGTTCGCAAAGACGGAATCAGCCATGTTTAAGTCGGAACCAGTGCTGTTCAGTGACATTTTATCTGGTGTGCATTGACAAATTAACCCGGTTTAATTTATTTACGGCAACTACAGACGTAGTATGCATTATTTTATTCGTACTTTTAGTTGAAGAATAGATTAAATTATTTCAAATGTACTAAATTATTAATCTCTAAAAATTTAAATTACAGTTATGTCGTAGCTTGTATACTTTCAAGCAAAGTGGGCATTCTGATTAAAATTTGACATTGTTCTGACACACAGAATTAAATGACATGACATTAATCACTTTAATACAAAGATTGTTTTTATTATCTACATAACATTTTTAATAACATGCTGTGTAAAAGTATTAGTTTTTAACTTTAAAAAATATCTATAAAATTTGCTTAATAAGTAAATCTAATTGTATACGTCAAATCTTGCGACATAATTCACATAATTCGAAAGGTCTGAGTAACGTCATAAATTCTGACACTCGATTTTTATCATTACAAATATTTGTAAATAGACTTGTGGTGTAGCTGTATCACCTGATTTCAAAATTACCAAATTCAAATGAGAATTATATAGTATTGTGATAGTTCAACAATCATTTTTCGTTTAAAACTAAAGGTCAAATGCAAAGTATCCTTTATTAATTAAAGTAATCTTGGCCACGTCATTTTAATGGATTTTTAGTAAAAATAGAACATTCCAGGCGATAAGAAATGGCTTCGAGTACAGAAGAAAATATTAGAGACTCCACCGGCGATGGAAGTCAAAATTCCAATACTAAAGATGAAGAGAAAAAGGATGATTCTATGTTTGAATGTAATATTTGTTTAGATACAGCTAGAGATGCTGTTGTTAGTATGTGTGGACATCTGTTTTGGTAAGTACAAACATGTTATTGGAAAATTATGTATATATTTATTAATAACCATTATCTATAATTAGCTGTTTTGTTTAAAATATACAACTTGCTTGAAAATTATTTATTAATTTAAAAAACTATGTCAAGTGCTCTTATTTTATCTAACAAAAGGCACCAAAAATAAGATAAGATTTTATCAAAATATATCTTTAATCTTTCTTTATATAGTAGTGGTAGTTACATTTAGTTACTATGTAGAAAGTTTATTCAAGTAGATTTTGTTCTACATTTTGCAAGTTTAATCTATTTCCTGAACAGATTTTTGTGGGTTTTAAATTGTGAGATTACCCCTATTTGGTAAACTATATAAAAATATTGGTGATCATACTTAAGTTTTAATTATACAGAATTTTCATTCATGTATTATAAGAATAAAAAAGCCAAATAGAAAAGAGGTGAAATTATAAAATAATTTGACTCATGAACATGAGTATATTAAAATTGTTCAGTTTCCTCAGCTTAGAAATATTTGACAGTCATTGTTGGAAACAAGAAACAATCCACACACAAATTCCTTCTCACTGTTCTGCTGTGCTAAACCTAAAGACAGTAACAAAAATTTGATAAAATGGTGGTAAAATCAATTTCAAAATATAATCCTAAAATTTTTACTATTTTATAGTTTATAGACTAACTGGTTTAGGAGTACTTTTTTGTATGTGTATATGCTTCAGATTATTAAGGAAATCATTAATTATGTTTATCAATAAAGTTTTATATAAAAATTCGTAGATGTAGATACCACTAAAAGGTTTTAATAAATCCTGCTGTAATACTAAGAATATTAACAGTATGTGGGTGTCAGATATAATTGATATAAAATGAAAAGTTTTCTGTGTATGAAAGTTTAATAAATTAAAATAGCTATAGTCAATATAAGTTAGTTATCCCCACTATTATCCCATTCATCATTTACTGCCAGAATTAATGACATCTCCAGGAATTATTTCATTGCCTTCACGCAATAATAGAATATGAATGATAATCTTATACATGTACTAATAAATTACTTTACACAGTAAAACAATGTATTATAGTGGTGAGTAAGAATGAATATAGTTATATTAAATACAGAAGAAGAAATAACATAAAAATTAGTGCAATAGGATGTCTGTATAAGTCAATATGGTATTCTGTAGGTACTAATCAATAGAGTTAACATAAAATGCAGAAATTGGGAACAGTTTATAAACATCCATAAAATTAAATACAGACTAGCCAGTAAAGTGGATATCAGCCCAATCTGGCTGATTAAACCAACAAAAGCTGGAAGGAGTACTAAGATTCAATTACCTTGAATTAGGCAAAATATAAAAAAGATATTGAATTAGACAAAATTCAGATCCCACCTTTTCAAAACAATGTGTATAAATGAAACACATTTGAAAAATTCCGGCTTCAATTATCTAATAACTCACTGAATTTGGAAGTTCATAAAAACTGTATAAGATGTTTATGTATGAAACTTATACATTGAATTCTGCTGAGGAGGTTCTTCAAAGAATACATCAGTGAACTCTATTAAATATTATTAAAAGACATAGGACATCAACAAACTCTATTAAAAGTTATTAAGAGACATAAACTAGAATATCTTGTACATATAATTAGAGGACCAAGATATGAGTTCGTTTGGTTAATTCTCAATGGTACAATTAAATGAAACAAATTAATACGATGGAAAAAAATCATAGTTGAGGTATTTGTGACAGTGGACAGGTGTGACAGCAATTGCTACACATTTCACAAGACTGATATCACCTTAAGAATATTATATGCATGGCAGTTGTAGACATTCTATGGGGATATAGGTACTCCAAGAAGAAGATTCTGGCCAAATCTAACTGGCCCATATAAATTTATTTTAAATTAAGAAAATAAGAGTTAGAATTTGTCTAACTGATAACGTAAATTATTTTTATCACAATATTTTAATTATTTTAAAATCATAGTTTTCTAATAACCTTTATTATTAGTCGTTTAGAATAATGTTATCAGAATAATGTTGTTAAACATAAACTTAATTCTTATATTATGTACTTGCCAAAAACATGTATATACAGTATAATCCCTCTATAACGAACACAATTATTACAAGGTTTCGCTTATAACGAGGTACATTAAATGTTTGTGAAATTTCTGTTGAACTATAACCCTCTATAGCGAGGCAAATTTGGTTATAATGAGAGAAAATAAGATTGAAAAATGTGGTTTTACGTTTTTGGCCCTGTCGTGGCTATAAATAAATACTCTTTTTAACTGCCATCTGCAATAAACTTGTTACAATTTATGATTCTTACTCGGAAATTTACTATTTACGATTCACAAGTGTCATTGTAGGGGGTTGACCATTCGTACCTAATAATATAGGTCCTAATAGACAAGATGTGGAAAGTGTTTTAAACTTTATCAGAAACTTTATCGAAAGACAAAAGCAAATGAAGAATCATAAAATTATTTCATATCTTTAGAAAATATGATAGATAGAAAGAATACTGGACAATTTAAAGCAGTCAAAAATGACAGACTTCTTCCAATTGCAGAAGCAATAGTTTATATTATCCTTGAAAATACAGTTTATACAGATTTACAGAGTACAGATTTTTTGTTTTTAACATATATCATTGACAATAAAAGTAAACAACTTTTTTCAAAAATGCCATTCAAACAATAGTTAGCATCTTATATTGCCTCGAATGGCTTCACTATAAATAAAGATATGGATAAACATTGAAATTAGTTTTAAAATGTTTTTTTTTTTTTAGTAAACAACATTATATTTATATAAAGAATAAAAGAAACAAAGAAATATTTCCAAAAATAGTTAATTATTTAAATTAATAGTTCCTGTTATTTTGAATAATCACTGTTAATAGTCCATAACTATAATATCATTTGTGAGTGTAGATATTAGTGTAGGTTTTTTGACAGTTTATTCCAATCTTGTATTAAGAAATTTAGTCAATATTTTTTTAATATCAATTGGACAATTTGTTTCAAATAGACAAATTCATCATTCATTTATAAATTCCTTTTTGTACATGCAATGTCATTTCTCAAAACAACTACATGTACCAGTTCCATCTAGTTATTAAGTATGATACAAAACAATCTGAAAAGGTTAAGTGCCATGTATACCTAATTCAGTGGACATGAATACCATTCACTGGTGCCAAGACAAAATCTTATGAACTGCTCAGAAGTGTCAGTGCTATATATTTTTTTTTTATTTATTATCATAGAACAATTATTTTACAAATACCATTGGGTTTCTTGTGTGAAAACAACAATTATAGTACATTAACACACTGAACATCTGAGTGGGTTAACATCAGCCTTTTAGTAAAATACAAAATCAATGCCCACTTAAGTGGGTGAACGCTTCATAGAGTGTTTTCAGCAGTTCTGTAGCTTATCAATGCTATCAGATATTAAGACAATGTCATCAGCAAATCTCAGGTGGTTTAAATTTTTGAGATCCTTTCCATTTATATTAATATAGACATTTTCAGTTTTTTAGTCTAAGGTTCCAATTGAGCTCCCCTCCCCTCATATACTTTTCTTTTAATATCCAACAATAATATTTTCATATATAGAGTGTATTCATATACATACAGGATATTTTCACTTTTGGAGAGATAGAATGGCCCTGTCTAATTCCTCATTATATCCGTAAATTTTTGGTGTTTTCATGAAGTCAGATACAAGCTGTACCTATTTTCGTCAATACTCTTAATCAAGGTAATATAGCGATAGTCTGCCATTGCTTGAAGCAATTTATGGTGGTCTATAGTATCAAATGCCTTTTCATAGTATACAAATATAAGAAAGATATGCTTGTTGTATTCTGTGCACTTTTCTATTAGCATATTTATAACTTGTAAATTCTATTCGCATATTTATAACTTGTAAATGATCATGTGTTCCATATTTGGAGTAAAACCCAGCCTGTTTGCAAAGTTGGTAACTTTGTAGTTTGTTCACAAGCCATTTTGTTATTATCTTCATTAATAGTTTGTATATACTATTGATGAAGAGCAAACTAATAGGTTTGTAGCTCTTTAGATCTGATATGTCACCTTTTTTGTGCATTATTATGGTTATTATTACCTATCCTCTATCTAACTACTATCCTCGCTAGTTCTGAAACTGAATTGATTCACCTGCTACAACGGATAGAAGACGTAAGCTTAACGATGGGCCTTAAAATAAACAGGGATAAAACGAGAATCATGATAATTGACAGAGCTAACAACAATCAAAATCATCTGGTTAGGATAAACAATATCGCTGTTGTAGATAAATTTGTGTATCTGGGCTCATTAATAACCAACAAAGGAGGCTGTACTGAAGAAATAAAGCGGCGGTCAGCAATCGCAAAAAGCGCTATGGCAAAATTAACAAAAATTTGGAAAAGCCATGAAATTACTACCGATACAAAAATGAGACTAGTAAGAAGTCTAGTTTTTCCAGTTTTTACTTATGCCTCGGAATGCTGGACCCTTACTGAGAAAGACAAAAAGAGCATAGATGTATTTGAGATGTACTGCTGGAGACGAATGCTGAGAATACCATGGGTGGCCCGAAGAACAAATGAATCCATACTGGTCCAGCTAAACATAAAGAAAAGACTAAGAACACAAATAACAGAACAGATAATAAGCTATTTTGGACATGTGCTTCGAAGAAATGGTCTTGAAAAACTTACCATCCAGGGAAAAGTAGAAGGCAAAAGAAGTAGAGGTAGATCTCCTACACGATACACGGACCATATTGTTGCTACCATTGGCGCTCCATTGTCAGAATGTGCTAGATTGGCAGAAGATAGAAAAACGTGGAGGAACATTGGAAAAATTACCTAACAGCTTCATGATATCACTATACCTGCATCAGGTTAACGACTAAGAAGAAGATGGTTATTATTGTATTATGCCATTGGGAGAGGTTATGCTTCTGGT